CAGCAAATGCTGTTTATCACCAGAGGTCTCTGTCTCAATAATCACCCTGTGGTGGCTGGTAATCTTCAAGCTGCACACAGGCAAGCTGGTAGTCTTGTCCTTGTCCTGCAACAGTCTGCTCTATGCTGTCCCTACAAACAACATTTTTGCTTCTACAATTCTGGGAGCTGTCAGGCAAACATCTTTTCCTATTGCCCAGCTAAGCCTACGGGGGCAGAAAAGAGCCACAATTTTCCGTGCTCTGTTCTAACAGCAAGACTCTTAAGTTCCAGTTCTCTTTCTACTTCTGCTGAATGATGGGAGGTGAAAAAAGGAGGAGCAAATTCCTTTGTTGCCCTGACAGCGAGGGATTAACTTTATGAGTGCCACGCAAAAGGGAGGAGTAATGCAGAACTTGGCTCTGCCCATCTCCGACTCATGGGAAAAGTGTTGCTTAGAGAATGCTGTGCTTTCTAGGGGATGCTAAGCAGCACTGAACATTCACTTCGGGAGGTGACAGATCCCAGCTGGTAGTCTGGATCTGCATGCATTCACCTTTTCAGCATTTGCAGTTCATGCATGGAGAAGTAGTATCGCACTGTGCCAAAGCTCGGGTATTGAGCTGCAAGGGGATTCAGAAGTCTTTTGTTCCAGAATCGAAAGAACTCCTTCCTGCCTACTGCTTGGCATTTGATGCTTTAGAAACTGGTTGCTCAGATACCAAACAAATCTTGTGCAGGCTCCCTGTTAAAACAAAAGCAGAGAAATGTATGTAACCATATCCCTGCTTTAGACTGTGACCTTACCAAGTTCCATTTGTTATTTTAGGCCACGATGAAGCTTTACTCAGACACAAATCTGACACTGATGCAGTGACTCTGTGGGAGACACCCTTTCCCATGGGACATCACACTGAACTTTCACTCTTACAATGTGATGTTATAAGCACCACAAGTATCCCTGATGGCCTAGGCATTAACTACAGCGTGGCAGAGATGTGCGCCCTACCTTTGTTAGCTGGTCTCTGAGACAAGCCCATTAGCTATCTGAGCCAATGGCTTTTAGTTTGGCTAGTGGACTGCACTGTGAGAGGAAGACCTGAGCTCAGAACCTACGGAGAACCCATATCCTTTCAAAACATCAAAACATTAAGCTCTAACATGATGACTGTGGCATTTTTTGCTGCCTTCCTAGTTTCCTAATCTCTGCAATGGGAAACTGCTTTGTTGCTCACTCCTCTATTACTGTAGAATGTACTTGCTCTGACCATCGTGCTATCCTTGAGCACACACCCTTGCTGTAAAATGCAAGCTTGACACTCAGCTGAACTTCTGGTTAATTAGTCACATCACCCTGCTCACCAACCAGGTTTACATCTGAGTAGTGTTTGGAAACCACTCCTGAGGACAGGAAGTCTGTCAGCAGCAAACCTTCACCTTCTACTTTCTGTTTGCGTGCCCTCCCTCTTCACCTGACTACAGGTAAAGACAAATTGTTTGCTTCAGAGTTTGCTGCTGCCCAAAGTAGGCATGGAGAATGATGCAGTGGCTCACTTTGATGCAAACCAGAAAATAAAAAATAAAGGGTAACATGACATAGCTCAGGCCTGATGAAGAAAAAGCTGATACTAGACATGAGCATCCACTTGTGGAAGGATAACATCTGGGAAGAAAGATTATAGAAGCCAGCACCTAGAGCCTGACGAAATGGACATCAATGTGAGACATGCATATTCCATACCTTCAAAGGCTCTTTCTGCTAAGGGCACTTCCATCTACCAAATAGAACAAAAAGGCACAAATACTTAGAAAGGAAAACAAAATGATGCCATTTACATCGAAAAAAACCATCAAGCAAAGCAAGAAAAGATTCAGTGGCTTGATGGGTGTTCTCACCCCTTGATATCCTTCATATTACAGGGTTTGTTCCTTCCCTTTATCCAGTGCTAAATGACTCACAGAATGGAACTGCCACCATTTCTTATCAAAGACAGTACCAGAGCCAAAAAGTCCTATTATGAGGACATATTTCCTGCCATTAAGATTCTTCTTCACTCACTCTTCTTTCGTAGGTCAGAATTATTCTTTTTAGCATCCCCTGAAACATCATAACCCTACCCCAAGTGGCATCTATGTCAAAACTTTGAGTCACTGCCAAGAAGAAACACTTGGTGCCTGGCTATCACTTCAAACAAAGTAGATGCATTTATTTTGCAAACTCTTCTGCCTGGGATGGTTTTCAAAAGCATCCTTTGTTTGGCTGAACACAAGCAGAGCTGCCTCTAGAGGTATCATATGGTGATACCTTATATCCTACTAATAATGTTCCCAAAGCCATATTCATATCCATTGTAGTGAGAGCTTTCCCTATAGATTTATATAAGGCAAAATACGACAGACAAGTGTTCCAACATTCCCTACTTGTCTGGCTGTGTGTAGGCCCTAATAAGAACTGGTCCTAACAGGTATGACAGCAGAACTTGGGGACTGAACAAAGCAGGGCCTTTTAAGTGGAAGCTGAGCTCATCTTGCTCAGTATGCTTTGCAAAACTCATCTGAAAAGACATGGGCTCTCTTGCTCATTAAGAAAACAAAACAAAACCACACTTCACTTCCCATCTTAAAAGTTCACTGTTAAAATCATGTTTAAGATGCTACCATATTGCAAAGAGCCAACACTGGTGAAAAGTGCTGCAAAGGACTATGGACAATGGTGTATCAGATCACAGCTGGACTAGATGATCTTCTAGGTCCTTTCCAACATTGTGATTCTATGATTCTGTGATCAAAAGTATCACAAAACTGTATTGGCATTAACTTCCATTTACAAATTAGCAGAGCTGAAGGAGAAGGAGCAGCTCTGCTGCCACCTTGGACCTTAACTCCTGGTGTAGAGCAATTAAAATAACAAGATGGGAAGGGAAGGTCACAAACAAAACCACTCAGAACAGCCTCTACAGAGTCTTGTGTTTTCCTCCCAGCAATGTTTTGTATGGGCACCATGTAATCATGCAGTTATGCATGGAGGATGGGAGAAAGTTCCCTGCACCAGGCAAAGAACAGGATGAAAAAAAGTCAGCAGGTTTTAAGAGCAACAGGATTCAGCTCTCCAATTTATCTGTTCTCAGCACAAACATTTCAGATTTCTATTGTTGTTCTTTTAAATGAACACCTCATGCTGACAGTATATCGTTAAGCAGCTAATTAGAACTGAAGCCTGAGATCTCCCCTACACAAGTACTTCTGGCATCAATGTTAATATTTAAGACGGTTGGCATTATTATTACAGTAATTATAAAGTGAATTAACAGTGGTAAACCTGTTATTTCAAAGCATTCCACCAGTCACTTCCAGTGCTCTCCCTAACTTAAAATACTTGACTTCCACTACAGCACAGTGGAACTTGGTGCAGATCTGCTGGTTCACGTTCGTTACTCCCAATTTGGAGTGCTGGGCACAGCTCACAGAGGGAACAGACTACACAGCCCATCTGTTGAGGCAGAGCACAGATTTAGCAGGACAAGCGTGGGAGCTGAGCAAATAAAATCTCCGTCATTCTAGCACTCACCCTACTTTGCACTTCCAGTGATCAGCTGGCTGCTCTGTCCCCTCTGACAACCAGGGATTGTGGGGTTTCTTGCTGGCAGTTGCATTCCACCCCCTGCAGCACAAATGAATTCATTCTTTTTCAGATGCTCCCCGGCTGCTTCCCCAGGTGCTTGCAGCAGGCAGCCTGCTGGGCGCTTCCCTGGAGATTCCCTCCAAGTCTTTTAATTTTTCTGATTGTGCTCTAATTAGCTTGACTTTTCATCTGACCCAGGTGAGCTTTGCTAAATTTAGCCAGCACATGGCTAGGCAAGATACAGCACTGTAACAACTTCAGATAGGAATCATCTACTGTGTATTCTTACTTTATGCTTTACAGACATCTCTACCATTTCACCATTCTAATACAAGATAATAATAATGCACATACTCTTCCTGGAAGAAGCTCACTGTACTGATAAGGTTCCAGGTCTACGACACCAAACCAAAGTCAACTTGTGCAAAATCAAGACGATAAATACAGGATGTTGATAAATTTCTGTATCTTTTAGCATAAAGTTTTCAAGCACAAGCGTTGTAAACTGAAGACTTTTCCTTTTGCTGTATCTGCTGTATGTGAATCTCAGCTAAGGTCATGAGAAAGATGTATTAGAAAAAAAAATCACTGTTTCTATCCAATATAGAATTAATCAGTGAATAACATCTGAAAGATTAATTCAGCTTTATCCAGCACTGTTCAGTTGTGCACTATTTGGTGCCTCTGTCAGGCAATCACATACTACAACACTCAGCACATTTTAGTCATTTCTGAAGGCCAAAAATAGGGCATTTTTTAATCTGGGGGAACTTATAATATCACCAAATATCAAAATCATTATCTACTTATTTTGATATTTATTATCATTAGTGTCAGCTTTTAGAAAACTTAAATAAATCAAAAATATTTGATTTGTAAGTTCACATTTCACTGGAATATAAAGTTTCTCAAACAGATCTTTACTACCTGTACAGTTTCCCCCCCCCCCACCAGCATCAAGTAGGATTTCAACTTTATGGCTAGAGTAACAGCTTTAATAGATGTATTCAAACAGCCTTTGAGTCAGACAACCTCAAAGACCAAGCATATTATATAAGTGAATTCACCTAGCTTCCACAATGCCACAGTCTGCAACTGAACCCCAAACCTCTCTATCTTCATTTTGAGTGATGAGAAAGCCACAGTTATTTCTGTGATAAACCTAGATATCACCATTCAGCAATGTAGGGAGATAGTTCTATTTATCTAGATATGTTAATCGTTATCAGAAGAGCTCTGGCTATAGTAATTCACAGAAGATAATGACTGCAACTCAACTTTCACTTTCCACTAATTAAAATCCAGTCCTCTAGATTACAAGTTCACTTCTGTTCTGGGAGAGTGCCATGGTTATTTTTAATTGGAGTAACTTAGTATCAACCAACCAGGGCGATCTACCTAGTTTGGCAAGGGATACAGCAGCTCTCTTTGCTGACTACTTGTTGCCATAAGACATGCCAAGTTTTACTTTCAGGAAGGCTATAAGGGGAATAAAACCTGCACCTCACATTCTACACTTTAATTAAGTGTCTTTAATTAAGATCTTATCTCTTTACTCATGAAGGCAGGGATAGGATATGGATAGGCATGGTTAATGGAAAAACTAAGGACCAGAGATTTTTCACCAACGTAATTAGTAGACCTGCATATCTTCACAGATTATTTATACTTCTGTAATGGCTAATTAAAAAGGCAAATCCACAGGCATTCAGGCAACTGAACTGCAGGCCTTTACATTCATAACATCATTTACTGAAAATCTATCCAGAACTCCAATAAAAACAACTAGCTCACTCATTAAGGGAGCATTTGTGAGGAAAGCAAAACGATAAGCCAGAATGCCATGCTACTCTGAAATAAGCCACGAGTGCCTTTGAGACACCTGAGCACTCAGCTGTTGGGAAAGCAATGCAGGAGAGTCAGAGTTGTGATCTGATAGTCACACATTTGAGAGGAAGTGGGTTTTTTGTACATTGCATCAAAGATGCTCTTTGAGAGGTATAAACACTCCAAATTCTCTGTGCCTGTATAAATAAGCCTATCTTTAAACGATGACATAAAGTCATAATTAAATATTCTAATTATCATTTTCTTAGCAGTAACAGCGTTTCCTAACAACTCTATTATCTCACTTAACCAATTAAAGCATTACAACATTTTTTAGTGAAAAACTTGCTTTGTACCATGTAACATTATATCATTCTACTTTTTGTTGCTGCAACACAGAAAAACAAGTGTTATTTATGTATCTACATGGGTGTTTCACACCAACTCACCTCGGGTATCTGAAATTCCGTAAGTGGTGACATAAGGATCACTGTTGTATAACAGAACAGGCTGATGCTGTAAGAAGACTAGAATTCCCCTGCAAGAACCAACAGAAGCAGATGAACCAGTTTGTCAAGATAAAAGCTATGGTAATTAGTAAATACACAGCCATCAGAATTTGAACAGGATTCTTATACCTGGAAGCAGGCATCAGCATCAGAATTGTCATTAAGCATGACTACACCTTCTTGTGAGAAACTACACAGGTCTTGGCTCTGTCAGAAAACAGCTCTTCTATGTGGGAAATGAAGGCAATGGTGCTTTTTTATGTCTCAGAAGCGGTTACAGTTAAAGGCCAGAATCACAGGAAGTCTTCAGGTAAGCTCTGATATTTTAGAATGCAAAGAACGGTATGGTTACAGGATCAGGTACAATGACCTGTTTTCTGCTTGACCATTTTTTACCATTTTTTCCTGGGTAACAGTAAGATAGAGGTTTCATAAGCATGTCTATCTTCAGCAGCAAGACATCTTCCAGACAAACAGAACTCTTTGTGAACCATAAGACAGATGAGTCTTACCACAGTAATTTATTTCTTAAAAATCTAATTTATTGCACTTGTCTCAAAGCACAAACAAAACAAAAAAACTAAATACAGAAAAAAAAGGGAAAAAATATATCCTAGTTTTAATAAAGCTACCCTAAAAAGTAGTCTGAAAAGAGCTCTTGACACCAATTTAATATTAATGACCATAGCAAGATACGGTATTATACAGTAAACAAACAACTAGCAAGCTCAAACCATTACTAAGATGACTTTGAATAATGCAATAGAAAAGTGTCACTACTAAGTAATGCCATTGTACTTAAGCACCTGGAGCTTGGCAAGGTGCAGAGAAGTACTCATATCCCTGCTCCAAAGTGGCTGACACATGTGCTGCCAAATTATACTGTTAAGGTAAATTTCAGCATCTTTGGGGTCCTCAAGATAGCAAGCTGTGCTTGCAGAAAACAGACTGGTTTACTTCATGAATCAATCCACTACAATCCACTGCCAGACTGGCTTAAAAAAAAAAAAACAAAAAACAACCTTCTGGAGTAATCACCATATATAGATATCAATGAGGCAAACATCTCATCTGTAAAAGGGAAATAAGTCCTTCCTCTCTGTAAGACTGAAAGATCAGACTGAGACCTGACAGCCAGTATCACAAGTGGTACAAAAAAAAAAAAAAGCAACAAAATGTGACATAACTTGGTTCTCTTTCCACAGATGTACATTCTCACCTTGCACCACATTTGTTCCAAGTTTAGTGCAGTACATGCACGACCTATTCTGAAAAAGAACAGAGGTTAAAAAGAAAACATCCTTCTCCATATGTGCTAAGTTCTGAAAACAGAAACATCCCCACAATTTAGCACCCGGCCTTTTTCTGAAGCTGGCTCATTTACAGTATTGGTTAGCAGCTGCTTAAACATTCTGATGATTTATACGCTTAGAACAAATACAAAATAACTCTTCCACCTACATACTGAACTCAGGTTCTCTCATCTATAGTTCTATTGCTTAAAAAAGATGAGGTATCTTTCAGAGAAGATTTAAAGAAAAATAAACTGCAATGGCTAACTTAGGTTACTTCCTGGTTCATTACATACCTCTGCTGCAACATCTGTAAGCATAAGACACTTCAAAATTTAGCTAACATAGCTAAAAGTTACAATATTGTTAAGTATTTTCTCACAATATCACAATTTTAATGGGATATACAGGTAATTCTATCAATTACCATTTTACTTTTAATACATCTGTGTTTGGTACTCAAAACAATTTGAGTCCAAAGGTTAAAGCACTGGCTGGAGGCACAAACGTAGCACAACAGGTATCATGAAAGCTACTCTGTACATTCCTACTTTGTACTACAAACCCAACATGCAACTTCCTTCTTTTCCAAAGTGGGACTTACCCCTGAAAAATTGTCAGCTCCCTGATGGCTGCATGAAAAGGGGAAAAGTTCCCTTGATATTATGTGCAATCCAAACTTCTCATGCTAGAAACAAAATTTCTAGATGTTGAATGTTAATATAGCCTTGCAGATGTTTATATGGAAATGGACCAAACTAAGATCATTTCAACACTGTGAAATCAGGATGTTCTAAGATCTCCCTAAGAAATACCTTCCTTTATTTTCTTCCGTGCTGCAAGGGAAAAGTCATTCTAAACACATACAATAGTTAGTTGAAGAGCATTTCTAACAGTTTGGAGTTCCACATAAAAAAAGAAATTGAGAAATATTTAATGTTTCTGATGTAGAGAAATATTTAATGCAATAGAACTTCTTCTCAAAATAAGTACACGTGTATTAGTGTGCATGCTACTGTGAAATAGTCATTTTCATTGCTAATCAGATTAAGTTAAAGAGTTATGTTTCCAAAGGAGCTGCTACAGTAGTACAGTATAACAACTGCAGTATGCCACACCTAAAGAGTCTCCCAAGAGAGACTGGAACAGACATCAGAACTCATAGCTTAGAGGCTATTTAACAGGTCAGTTTTTTTAATACAAAAGTGCTAATATCACAAGGTCCAGTATGAGTGGCTTTTACATCCAACATTCTGTACATACATTACAGAAGTTCTATATGCCCTTCTATTTTTTTCACTGCTTCACAAGCTTGAGAGACTTCATATCACTTCCCATTCATCTTCAAAATCATCAGGGTGAAGCAGAACAGAAGTATCGTTTTTCTGCTGGTTATGGGAATGGCTGAAGGTCTTAGTGAGGCGCTGGAGAAGGGATCCTGAAGTACTGATCGCCCACAGTTCATCCAGAGGGGTCACTGTGAAGCATAAATTAGACATTAGATAAGTAACATTTGCATTTATTTTTTTTTCTAATTGTACCTAGGAAAGGTTTTTACTGATGTGATAAAAGCACGTTGATGAAACTGCCAGGCCACAAAGCTCTCCCTGCTTATGGTCAGCTTGAACACCATCAGGCAGAAATCAAAGAAGACATCACAATGTTTTTGAATTACCACATAGAACCAACTTGCCTGTTAAATGTGCGACATTTCCAGGAATCTTCTTCCAGTAGTCACCTGCTGGATTCTTGTCAGTAATACCATAACGACGAGCTACATCTCCGTTTGGACAGCGTGCCCAAACGGTCCTTGTACTTATAGCCAGCTCACATGCCTGCAAACCTAAAGATAATCAGGCATCAAAAGGCAATAATCACAAGCTTTCTTCTGTACTAAATACACTCGCTGAAAAGTTTACTAAGACAGCAAGATTGTAATATTTTTATATACTCTTACATTAATATTAGAAAAGCACTTTCCATTATAAAAGACAGAAAGAAATAACTAAATTTCCCCATACGCTTTCCAAGAAAGGACTGGCAAGATGACAATTCAGGACTGCATTTTTCCTTGTACTAACTTTAGGGGAGTTGAACAGAGAAAGTTCAAATAGCATCTGAGCTTCTGGCCTGATGTAAACAGAATAAAAGAATGAAGCCACTTGCAGTACACAGAGCACTTAGAAACAAAAAGGCTTTTTAATTGCGGACTTTGTAGACACTGCATCTATCTACTGACCATACTGATCTCACACTGTGGATACACTCTGCTCTGTGGCCATAGCCATAAGCATACTTCCAGATGGTAAAATCTGACATTTACAACATTAGTTTGCCTAAAAATGGTTAACATCATAGACATTGTGGACATTGTGGACATTAGTGTCTGGTTGGTTTTTTTTCATTTGTTTTTTTCCACAACAAATTGTCCTCTTCACAATCAAGCAAGTTCTCTGTAACTGAAGTGCTATGCACTTTGAAATATCTTTACAAAGCAGACAGCGTCAGTAAATGGTTATTTAGAAAGGAACAACTAAAATTTAATTTTACATAAAGGCAAGGCAAAAATATAATTACTTAAATAAGAATGCATCCAGCACACAGGATTAACAGAAAGATGTGCAAAATAACATTAAGTTTCCGTTAGCCATATCTAGATGGGAACTCCCATGCTGCATCACTTTTCAATACCAAACTTCCCAAAGCACAGTGGTTTCCTATTGCTTAGGAACACTACTTTAATCCCAACTTAAAGGTAAATGTGGCATTTATTAATCCAGTGGCAGCAGCCTGAAATAACACACAATATAAATTCATGCCAGAATCAGATTTCTCTTCAGTTAACTCTACAATGTGTTTAAATAAAATCAAGATCTTCTTTCAAAGACAATCCTTATCAAACACTTCACAGGAGTTTCTATAAACAAACATACTTGATTGCTGAGAAACATATCTGATTTATACATCACTACCAAACTTAAAATGCAACATGGAAAAAAAAAAAATCACAGTGAGAAAACAGCAGAAAGCACAAGAAATTCATGCCTTACTTTTTTTTTTTTTGGTTTTTTGTTTTTTTTTTTTTTTTTTTACCTGGTACATGTTCCCAGTCGGTGCCTACAGGCATTTCCTCCGTAATTCCCACTCGTACATGGACATTCCATTTGCTGTCAATGGCCCACAACATCTGATCATTTGGACTTGAATGAATGCTGACCAAGTTGATTCCTACTGGCTATAAAATTCAAGTGCAGTATTTAAATTGTGTACCTATATTTATATAGGTATGAAAGTCTCATCTTAGCAATGGTACAGTGAACTCCCTTCTTCCCCATATGTCATTTTATAGGAATACAACTCTGGAATTCAGCACAGCCCACTGCAGTACTGGAGCAGCCACACTTGTAGAATATCCACACCATTATCTATTGGCAAGCCCAACGACACGCTCTTCCCGTTCTTTATTCTATTTGCTCTGATGGATATCTGTCTTAACTGCTGGCAAAAATCAGTTTCACTGACCACAGAATTTCAAAGAGATCAAAACAATGATGATAATTTTATGGCTAATATATTTAGCTAACAGGTTTAGTGAACGCAAATATCCCTTTGGTGCTGGGCAGGGAAGGGAAAGCCACACACTTTAAATAAAATGCAGGTAAGAAAAGGATTTTTCTCCCCATGAGCTTACAAAATACTCCCCCAAAGACAACAGTAAGATGCCCTGAAATATGTCATCATCTGACAGAAGCGCTGCATTTCTCACCATAACCTCAGGCCTAAGCTCAATAACCAGTGTGACAAACCTAAGAGCAAGCTGCTCTTTATACGTATAAACATGTAAAGAGGAATACAGAATCATAATCTTTATGTTTATAAGAACACGCAACCCAATGCCAGATGGGCCTTCTGTGTACATAACAGTTACCTGCTTTGTTCTTGCTTTTGAAATTGTGCTGTTAACATGGGTCTGATTCAGTTATAACCAAGTTTGACTTGAAAATTCCAAACCAATCCTGTCTTAGGTTGTAAGACCTTTGACAGACTGTCTTCTCATGTTTGTGCTCTCATTAAGTATTTGCACATGTTGGAAGCATGGAGCTGGTAGACTTGAAGAAGTGTTTGCATCTCTGGTCACAGTAAATTGACAAAGGCTGCAAGTTGAACACTTACAGGAAAATGCTATTTCTATTGAACAGCACTGAATACATAGAATATATAAGTACCTAGTTACTTTCAAGTTGTTATTCTGTCATTTTACAAATAAACTACTGGATTGCAAAAAACAAACAAACAAAAAAAACCAAACAAAAAAACCAACAAAAAACACCCCCAAAAACATCCGCCAACACCAATGCACCATTGCCAACCCTCCCCCACCATCTCCCATGTGCTGACATTGAGGAAAGAGAAAGAAAAAAATAAAATAACCCACAAATATGCCCTGTCTTGCTGCCTCTACACCTGCAGTCATCCTCATACATGCCTCCCCTTCCTCTTTTCCTCCCTCTTTTCTAGTTTGTCTCTTTCTATGATTACTTTGATTCTGACTCCTTACTTCAAGCCTGCCCTTCTTCCCACATCACTGCCATGCAGTGCATCTCACCACAGTGCTGTTTCCAGCTTCATCACATCCCTCTCTGTATTTCTGATGTTGTGGTCCCTGCTTTCAAAGAAGCTGTGCAATTAGTAACAGCTTGTGCAAACTGAGTTACTACGTGCAAATTGCGAAGAGCAGCCCGGTGTGACCCTTGTTACTGATCTGTTGGGATCTATGCACCTTGCTCTTCACTCTTTCACATCAGCAAATCATTCCTCTCTTCCTCAATCGTTTGCCTAAAGGAGAACTCCCTTAGAAATAACTGGGGAATATTTCCATCCAGAAGGACCTACTGAGGGCTTATTCCTAGCTGATAAACCTATGCATTACTATGGAATTACTGGTGCTGCAAGCTGGGTAAAGCAAACAAAATGTCCCAAAGGGGCTGCATGAAAGGAGTTGCTAGACAGCTTTTGCTTCAACTGCAGGCTTACGAATAATCAAACTACCGCTACCCAACCCTGCAGCACTGATGTATCTAAGAAATAAATGGAATTTATGGAGTCCTAAGTAAATCTACAAGCTTGGACAAAAACTTCTGTCATTCTCTGACTTTCTTTAAATAAACTCCTCTTCTCTTGTTGAGTTTTCCCACTTCTCAGGGTATTCTGCTTTTGGTTTCTTTTCCTTTCTCAAGCTACTTAGTTCTTTCTGACAAACCTGCATCAAAGAAACAATCCTCCTACTCACTGTCATTACAAAAGATCCAGGCAAGACACTGATGGCAGCATCCAATGCTCTTAGAAGAGAAGTCCCTACTCCACTACAGCTTTCTGATGTGTCACAGGCAGTAGAGGACAGGACCTATAGGACAGCTAGTGATGTGGTGATAACCAGTAGCTTTTGGAACAAAGCACTGACAAGACACCAGGAATCAGGGACAGGCAATTCTTAGAGGTGTTAAATACACTAGATGGCTATGCATCCTCCACAAGTACACATCCTCCTGTCCTCTGGTCTTGCACCTTAGTTACAAGATCTTCAGTCTCTCTCCATGTTTTGCTAACAAAGATTTCCCAATACAACATGTACTGCCACACAAGCCAGCTATATACTTTTCAGTACTTACAGTTACATGCTAAGAGCTGTGAATATCTTAATTGTCTGCTATAAATAAGAATCATGAAAAATAGTCTGCTAGCACTCAAGTGTCTGATGACAAAACAGTGCTGACAAAATGAAGTGAACTTGAAGTTGTCCATTAACCTTGTAATTATGTGCAAATCATTTCCGTTCCTTTTGCAGACCACCGAGAAATCTTCAGTGCAAGCCCTCTGTTTAAACAAAGGAATCAAATAAAATCTAAAATAAAAACTAATGCTGTTTTCCGTCCCTGAGCTACTATTCAGAAATCCTGTCTTACTGTAGTTGCTTCAGTCACAGATGAACCCAAAACAGTTCTCTGTCAAGGAGAAAAGCATTAGAATATATTCCAAGTCACTATTCCGACATACATCAGCAGGCCTCCACTATCTCTTTTCTGCTGCAAATACCCAGGATGAGAAAGACTAAACATAATATTCTCAGCCTGTTTAAGTCCCTTTTCCCTCTTTTTTATTTTTAAAATAATGGTTTAGTGGTTGCAAGCAGCATGTTCTACTCACATTCAAAAGACAGAAAAACCTTCAGATGCTCCAGGCCAGGATGAAAGAGTATCACATCTGAGATATTTCCCCCACTATCAAGCACTATCTGTAGATCAGACTAATATGACTATTTTGATTGCTAACAGACATCCAGACCCTATAAAGTAGCATGACAAAGAAAGAATACAACTTAGAGAGATTCTGTAATATAAACCTGACTACTGCTCGTTTTTTTCAGACCTTCATTTGAAAGATGGTGGAAGTGTTTTACAACCACTAGATATCAAGAAAGCACAAGCAATGCGAGAGCAGTACCAAACAGAATGGTTTGCATTCAGACTTCAAGGAGAGCAGATTGCTAAGTTAATTACCTCTTTTTTTCTCTGTAGAAAAGTTCAAGGCAGTATACAAGAGCAGGAAAGATTACGAATCTATGTTTAGTCTTCCTGGAAGCCACATGTTTTTCAGTAATGCTGCCACATAATTGTCAGAGATTATTTATTGCCTAGAGCATTATTTTCCTCAGAAGCCTTACAACAAGCAGCACAATTCCTTCCCCCAGTTTTAGCCTTTAGTGAGTAAACAGACCACAGACTTAGCTCCATACCTCCAGTTAACGGCTAGTGCAACCAAGAAGAAAGGGCAAAAAGGCATGGAGTCTGTTTTCTTCACCTTTGTCAAATTTAGTTTTTATCCCAATCATTTTCTCACAGAAATATGCAAGAGACTACAACCACACATGGCAGGCATCAATTTCTAGAAAAGGTCACACCAAACCCATGCGACTATTCAACACACTAAAGCTCCAGCAGGTCCATAACATTCTTCCAGAATATTTAGTACAACAGCTGCTTCTTACAGGCAATGAGAATATTATTATTAATAATGCAAAGCATTACAGCACTAGTTAAAAGAAATATAGACAGACTGCAAGAGCTCAGATTTGAGGCTGCTGGCGGTATTGAGCAACTGAAAGTATGAGAAGGAAAGCTTCTCACTTTTTCTGTTTCACTGTTAAGTCAAAACACAAATTAAGATTTTATTTCTGAAGGATTTGGAAAAATCGTCTGCTCAGTTTTCTGAGTGTCTCACTTTGTGTATCCTTTTTGTGAACCAAGGCTCCTGGTGCTGATAACAATTACTATCGAATGTGACAGGCTACATGTGTGCTCTTCTGGACATGATGATAGCAATGCCTTAAAAAAAAATACCAGAAGGCTATAACTCCAAAGCAGTAAAATACAGTGAAATACAGTGACAACAGCTGCTCCTAACTTGCAATAAAAAGGAAGACAGTAAGCATTGAGCAATGGACATGAAACAACTTTAGTAACAATGCTTAACGTGCGTTTCTGTAACCTTCAAGAAAGATGCATGTCTATGGAGAACAGTATATATTTGAAGTTAAACATTGTGGCATTTTGAATAAGCTAAGCAAAACACATAGCAGCAGGAACTTTGATCCCATATGCTTATTTGCAACCCACCTCAATACAGCTAGTGTGACTGCTGCCAAATGTAGCTTTCCTTTACATCTTCTTGAAAACAGTGGGGAGGGGATTTTCCTGGAGGACTACTAATAGCTTCAAGGAGGCTTCACATGAGTAAACATATATGGAACAACAGATCAGTCCTGTCTACAGGTAACTAGAAGGCTTCGTGTGTGTTTTACCTCTCAATCTAAATATAATTGATCTAATGAAAGATACTTCCTGTACATCTCTCTTCTTAACACCACACCAAAGTAGAATTCACAGCAGTGCACAAAGACATCTACACAACAGTTAAGTAGAGCAAGCTATTCTGTGCTAGCAAAAACAATCTGGAAAGAACAGTCATGTGGATTATACACCAGAAATAACAGTTTTCCACAGCAAGTATTTTCAACACCAGTGTGGATGATTCTGAAGTACGAAAGACAAAGCATTCCCAGCAGAAAAATTCCTCACCCTTCAGATATCCAGTCCTTGCATAATTGTTTCAAAAGAACCTCTATTACAGTTCAGCTTTGATTTTGGCATCTATTTAAAAAAAAAAAAAGTGCTCATCACTTCCTCCTGTGAAGCACGACTTAACAGAGAACTGACCTTAACAGGAACCTCACTGAAAAATGCAATGCAAAGCAGGGAAGAAAGTCTCCAGATTAGTACTGTGTGTTCTGTATGGTAAGCAGTGCTCAAAGATAGGAAAGGAAACAAAAGATCTGACAACCATTTCTAACTGACATTTGTAAGGCATAACCACTCCCCTTATGCTGAACATAGATTATGAAAAATGAAGGTATAGAGAAGAAAGAAAATCCACTGTGCACTCATTTTTGCACGCAGACAGAATGACATAGAAATTATTAAAATTTCAAATGCCATTTCTAACTAACAGTTGCTCCTTAGTTTTAAGAATTTTTGAATCACAGTGAAAGCAATCCATAATTTAGTTTTGTTCTTTTAGTGTGTGTATATGGAAAAGATGGAACTCTTACTGAACTTGGGGAAGCTATCTTCTCTCAATTGCAGTATGAAGCTTAAAACAGAAAGACAGGCAACAGAAAGTTGGAACAGTAATAAAAGATTCTCTAACTTGAAACATCTATATTGCAAGAGTTCATTTTATGGCAAACTGAGTTAAGCAGCACTCTGCTGCTGACCCTGGGAGCTACAAAGAATCAAAAAAGCCTTACACAGCAGTTGAGCAGCAAATGTCATCTTAAATAATTTCCTTCTACCATTTGGACAGATATTTAAATAAACCTCTTGATTTAATAAAAGAGCTTTTATAATTTCATTTTCTATGAAATTTTGCTTATGAAAGAGCACAATAGTAATTAAACAAATTGCAATTAATAAAATGTTTATTTTTAGACTAAGATAGATTGTTTACAAGCAATAGATGACTGCAACTCATCACAAATGTGTCCTCATCTTTGCATCCATTTGTTCTCTTAAATAAAAGTTCTACTTATCTAACAGAACCCTTAATGTAAATTTTAAAAAGCATTTCTCAAAATCAGATTTTTTCTTCAGCATCTTTTTCAGTATGTGCCCAAAATCAAACCCCAAACTTATTAAGAATTACTTTCAAAGGAACCTTCAACTTTTAGAGATCTGTCAAAACAGTGTTTCAGGTGAAAGTAATTTTTAACTTCTAATCAACTTGTGCTCTACAATAACCCAAGTTAGTCTTATTGACTATTAATTTTGTCTCTGATTTTTGATTATTTCTTTTGATGACAAGTTTAAAAAGCATTACATTTAATGAATATACGTGCACCCTCATACACACATACTCCATAATATCTACGTTAATATTTATGCTGCTTGCTCAGTATTTGTCCTTTATTATGTATTTATGTTACTATGTATTTACGTAGATCAATGTTAACACAAACCTAAATGTATAACATTTATTTATAATTTATCATATATTTGTATCACGACGTTTTTTTTATACTAAATGCAATTACATTTAAAGTAAGTGCAGACAATAGTTTTATTCTGAATATTAAGAGTGGAATGAAAAACACTTTCAATTTCCTGGACTAAACCCATTTCATCAAGGAGTTTTGATCAGCTTTGTCAATGCCTTTAAAGCTGCTTCTGAAAAGCAGCTTAACTACATAATTTTGACATTTAAACCACAGAATAGAACGGATGAAGTGCAGAAGACTACAAGACTATATAACTACTACTGTTCATGATACTGTAGTATTATCAATCACTTCTTTCTCTCATCCACGACTTCAGATGATGGAGTGCAGAGAACACAAAATGCTGTTTTTCATGAAGAGATACTGCAATCAGGACTTACGAAGGGAGCAAAAAAGTGAGAACAGCTTCAGTTCCAGATTTTGAAAAAGCCATACAGAATCACAGAACAAAGACTGAACTGGAATTATATTCACTGTTTTTGCATAAAATCTAAACAGAGCTATTGTCCCTGAATACCTTCGTGAAGCTGTGCAATAGTAGATGCTGCTCAATTACAGTACTCCTCGAACAAGAAGTGACACTGTGCAAGCAGAGCCTATAGCTGCTCACAAGTCATGAGATCTGGGATATGGCAAGTCACATCAGCTTTGACATTTACTAGGGAATGAAATATCCGCAGTCGGTTTTAAATTATGTTATTTGAGAATGCTCCTGTACTTAAAGCAAGTGAAAGGCAATTTTCATTTCCTTCTTCAAGCAGAAAATGACTGAATCACTCACAAATACTTCTTACAATCCTTCTGCTGTTGTGAAGATAAAGTGATGCAGCATGAATTATGTCAATGTCAATTAAGAAACAGATAGCAGCTACTAAGAAGCAAATATTCTTCACTGAACAGTCCACTTCTCAATCAGTTGTTATCCAAACACTGAGCTAGTATTTGGAGATAATTTTCAAGTTCACATTCTCTTACTTTGCATTTAACCTTTGCAAAAGCATGGATAGTTGCTCCCTCAGTACTTCAATGATTTCTTTCTATGTGCTGGAATTGTTTCAAAACAAGCATGTAATCCACAAGTTTTCATCTCTGCAAGCAATGTTTGAATATTTGCCCTTTTATATTGACTCATTAGAGTTTGCAATGTCAGGAATTGGCAAGATAACAGAAAGAGAATGACAGTGCTCCAGGCGGCAGAAGGTTATCATTTTGGAAGGCAACATCCAAAATGACTGCCCATCTTCCTCAGTAAGAAGTAACCTGATTTTCAACCTTTTCCAATTAAAGACTTTCTCCAGAAGGAAGGCACTGCTAAAGCCAAAGCAAATCCCACCTTCTTGCAAACATCTTCACATTGAGCAGTTTAATCAATTTCTACATAGGATTAGAGAATGCAGTCAGTACAGACAAAATAGTGTGACTGTTTTAAGGTTTCATGAAGTTATTTTCCTGGATAAACAAATCTCTGCTGAGAAGATACTGCACAAATTTATCTCTCTGCCTCTCTGCAACTCAATTAAGTGGAATATGTTCCCCTTCTTTTAAGAGTACTATGCTTAGCCTCCTCTTCCTGCTACCCTGCACCCTCTTAACAAGCAAATAACAAACATCCATTCCGCAGCAGTTAAATCTATCCCTTGTTGTATCACTCAAGTAATTTAATACTTATCAGCCTGTTCTGTTATTCTGCAAAACAAGATATCATTTCTCCAGGCTTGACTGACACATTCCCAACGCAGAACTAGCCTAACCAGTGCTGTGCTAACTGATAAGATGCAAAGCTGCAGTTTTGTTTCCTGGGCCTTCTTTGCTGCTATACCCCAAGATTCACAGAAGTAACTTACTTCTGCTCATCTCCTAGCAGCCAAAGAGAATGATGTTAAAAAAACAAAAAACAAACAAACAAACAAAAAACTATTGCAACTACACTACCAGAGATCTACTTTTATGTCTTAGTGTGATCTTTTAAAAGTACCACATATTTCAAAATCTTCAGAAGAAATTCTATAACACTATAAAATGTAAATCGAATGTGCAAACACATCTAGTGCTACTAGATCAGCACACAGTTCAACTGATTTTGTGCCAAGGAGCAAAGAATGCAATCACTACTCAGAGGTCAACTCTCTTACAGCAGTCCCAAACCATGATACAGAATTACACCCATTTCACAGCTTGACTTGCTAAGCATTTGAGCAGCACTGAGGTTTAAGAAGAGATTAAACAAGAAAACAGACACTGGAGAAAATTATTTTGTCCAGTCTGTATTCAGAAAATACGGTCCTAGGATTTTAGAAGGCCTTTAGAAGGCTTACTTCCACCCTGATCCTCCCAGCTGGTAGGCAGAAAGGATGCTTTATTTGCATGTTCTGGGAACAAAGGAGGAAAAGAACTGCAGTTGTACTGAACAGTTCTAACCACTGGGTGATAAGGAAAGTCCCTAGATCCAGGCACTGCACCCTGGCAAGCATCCCAGACTCACAAGGGTGAGAATAAAGGAAGAGGCAGGAGGCACTACGCCATGAGCAAAGCCTTTCCACACCCTCTGCTTAGTGCTGCTTTCCAGTCCAGCCTCTTGGCTAGCAAACAAGAAGACATTCAATATACACTTCAAGGTTGCATTTTACTACATGCCTATAAAGGTGCTGCGTTACTATTAGAGAAATTTTTGGCTAAGAAAAAAAACTTTGACTTTTGGAAAAACGTTACTTGTAAGAATTAGATGCATTTGTAATAAGGCAGCACATTCAGAGTGCACTGTACTGACTCTTCGATTGTGGGGTTGTTTTTTTTTTTGTGAAGATGAGTAGATGTTGAAACTGAACATGTGGTTCATGTTTAAGACATACAATTAAAATGTGACCCTATTGTTTTCCTTAAGTGTTAACTTATTCCTTTTTCGAAGGCATAGAGCTAAAGCATTGTGTTATAAAGAATTAAAATCAACATTTTACCTGTATAGGTGGCTCAATCATTATCCACGCAGGAAGCATCAAACTCGGGTTAAGAGGTTGGGTTCCTACACGGAAATAAACACCACCACTGGTGTCACACGCCCAAACATGCTGATTTCCACAGGCCAAGCTGATCAGCTTCACAGCTCCTAACAGTAAAAAGACTGTTAGCAACCTGGCATTTTTATTTCACATTCAGTTAATAACGTGCACTTTCATTACTACTGCATATAATGATTAAAACCAAGAGGCAGTATACAAGAGGTATTTTTCTCTTAAATTTAAAAATAAGTCACAGGATACTGCCATTTCTAAAGCATACTATGAATATGCTATTAAAATAATCGAATTCAAGCAGTGGAAAAGTTCTGTAACAAATGTTATCACTGTCTAGACAAACTTTCACATGACTTAATGTGAACTTCTCTCTGTATCTGGCCACGCCTATGTATTTTTCACAGTGTTTAATCATACATTCAGCAACGAACATTCCTAATGCTACCAGTACTTTAAAAATACACGAGCACATGGATTGTACATCTCTGTGTTAACATACCAGTGTCACATTTGTAAATAAAGGAGTTGGTTTTCAAATGGGTTTATATTCCATGTACATATCTATTATTTATTACATCTATGTCAGAAGCACAGAAGTATTTTAACTCTGTGCAAGTCAGCAGAATGAAGACAAAATTCCCAAATAAGTAAATTTTGGATTTTTTTTTTTTTTTTCCATAACAAATCACACCCATCAGTCTTGTTACTAAAAGTTGGTAAAGACAGAACTGCTAACTCTAAGGGCCAGCTGGAACTCTTTCACATTCATTTCAGAATAGACATGTGATGTAATATATGTAACATCTGATTTTTTTTTTTTTTTTTTGCCTTCCAGCACTGGGAGAACACAATGCCAAGCAATGGAAAACATGTTCTACAGAAAGAGAGACTCAACCAGTACAGATACACCACAGAAGGAATGCCCTGGTCGCACTCCAAACTAAAGACTAAAAATAGGCCTTGCTGGTTGACTGAACGTGCCAGCACCTCTTGGGATATCCCATTCTTGGTAACAGTTTTCTATTTTGTGATGTGAATCTGGGAACAAATCCCTGTAAAGTACATCACTCAAGGAGAGGGTATGATTTTATCCCATAAGAAGGAATTTAAAGCACTTATTCCTGCAGAAGGCAATACTCAGGAAGGCTTGCTGGGGCAAGGAACAGGCAACAACAGGACTATACAGCTTCCATCCTTTAGTTAACTGAAATTGTAAACATCTCAGCATCAACCAAAATTACTTAACTTTCTGAATCAATGAAATTTGAATTATCTCACTCTAGAATTTCCTTTCATTTTCCAGCTTCCTATTGAAGAATGACATATAAAACCATACAGAAAAACTTCAACTGCTTCAGGTAAGAACGTCCAGCACAACTTCCTGCTGCAAGCAGAGGCTTGACATTCAGCAACAAAGTCCAGCTTTTATTTAATGATTCCTTGGAACAAAGTACAACTGCTAGTAATGGCTTTGCCACATGATGTCTCAGCTGTTGAAGTGTTCTGATCCAAACAAGCATCGCAGCACTCAGACACGGAATCACATATCACCTACTCGGCATAGCTGATTTATTTACGTCTACAGTACAATTTGATATTCAAAAATGCAGTCCTTATGTAAATGTTTTGGGGTTTCTCTCTCTTCCCACTTACTGCTTTCACATTAGGAGAAGGTCGTGCTAACCACATTCAACCACTGTTTAGGAAAAAGTAGTGTAATTCAGAGACATTATAAATAATTGAGGCCTAAAGGTCATTCTACCCTGTTTAGAAGCCTTGGTAGAGGAGCCCTAATCAAAATAATTTACTAGATAGTTCTCCCAGTACATAGCGTATAGGCAAGAGGAAGGTACTACCAACAGAATACTAATATTTACACGTAACTGATGGCAACATGATCATTTCCACAGAGAATTCTGAATTTCACTTTACAGCAACTTGCTGTTTTTCTCCCATTTACATTTCCTAACATTTCAGGAGTGAGAATAAACACACATTTGAACACTAGCAATAATACTCTGGATTTCTTCAGTCCCATTAGCACAATACAAGTCTGAGATCACAACTGTGGGTATGTAGCGGTGACCTACCATATGCAATTAGATGGAAAAAAAAACAGGAAATTTTCTTCATACTTAATAATTAACCCACAGTACCAAGTTAGGCAAAGTGTCTGAATTATTTCCTGGCCCCAGATTTCCACAGTCTCACCAGAGTGTGCCACAAAGCTATCAGAAACAGCTGAATGTGATGGCTGAACCCCAGAACTGCTGAAGTTAGTACACCAGGTATTACAGTCTGCTAGCACTGACTTCCTTTACCAATGTTTTGAGATTTGCAGACAACATCAAAGAGCTATTACTTCAGTTTTGCAGCTATTATCTAAAGTGCTAGAAAGCAATGGTATCTTGAGGAAAATTTTAATCTCTACTGAGCAAGATGAGAAGGAAAGTACAGACAAACCTACTCTGTAGGTCAGTGGAGACAAAAGGCATTGAGTATTGCTTAAATTATGGTAAAATTAGTGATTTGAAACCCATTTGTCAGGTCTGGAGAATGTGTTTTATGACTGGTAGATGAATTCTTTTTAAAAGGTGCTATTAGAAAAGTTTCACATGAAGTATACAAGAGATAAAATTGCTTATTGGGACAATCATGAATACTGCCATTAAAAATGGAAAAAATACAAAACAGCTTAAATTTATTCAGGCGCAGAGTCTCCCCTTCTTTTACATTCTCTTGAAATAGGAATGCAGGTTATCACAAAGAGAAGAGAATATTCTAACAATCAAATTACCAAAGAAATAAATCCAATTAGAATACAACTGCTGAAGCTGGCAAGTGGCCAGAACTACTCTTAATTCTGATGCAAAGAGCCAAACTGTGAGGATATTTTAATGATCAAAATGTAATCAGACAACCTTGCTCCTGTTCCTAACCAAATAAAAAGGGCAGTTAACCAGTAGCACATTCTTGACATTATGCTGAATCATGAGATCACTATCAACTCAAACATAAGAGTGTCATCAGCTGTATCACCTATGAATGATGCAATTCTTACAGCATAGTTTTTCCTTACCAAGATCCCAATGAAGCTTTAGCCACTGTTAAGAATGCATTTACCCACAAAATGCAGGGCCTTCAGTAGGGAACTGCCCAGTGCCATGTGATTATGGTTACCCTGCTTATAGTATGAGAAATAGTTAAAGCTGCTGGTATATCTGCACAGCATCGTGTCAGGCTGAATGGTCTCAAACTTAAAAACTGTAAGTAGCACAAAAGCATAAGAAGTGTCCTGCAAACACACATCATTGTTTGAAAGCATTCACAGGTTAGTTATCATGTTTTATGGTCCTCTGCTGCAAAGTGAAGTACTGTTTAATCCAGTAAATGTAATATTCCAGATCAATAAAACAAAGACATACTTGAAAGAAAACACTGTCTTCTAAGAGTTAATAGATAGTCTACTCAATAAAAATGTCATACCTAGTTGAGAGAGATCCAGTTTTGTCCAGTGCATCCCTGTTGGACAGCTGGATGAAAGAGTTCTGATAAATATCTGCCCAATACTATCCAAACCCCAAATGGCATCCTGGCAAGCAGAGTAGTGCACCATTTCAGCCTCTGGTGGCAGCTGCACCGTAGAAGGACGAAACTGAGGACTCTGATCACTGACACAAAACAGATCCTTGTTGCTTTGGCACAGCCACAAAAAGCTTCCTATGGTAAGGAAATTTCTGTTATTAAAATCAATCCTAATCTGCTCTGAGAAAGCTAATTCTTCCTCTGAAAATGATCTGTACATTTGAAGACAAAAATAAAGATCTTAATCTAAGACTTCCAAGTACAAATAAGCACCCTAAGTGCTTATTTAGGCACTGAAATACTCCCCCCCTTACATCAAGTAAGTTGCAAATGATCTCACTTGAAAAACCTTCTCACGTGAAGAAACTAAAATGTAGAAGGCACACATAAGAGTGCACTGTTTTCCCTTCTTTCTTTACTTGCTTTCTTGATAATTGCTTTTGAAAAACAGCATGCCTTCCCAGTTCTATATTATACATGTTTGCCAATAAGGTTAGTGTATTCAGCTGCAATTGTTAGCAACTGCATTACCAAACAGTAGAATTCTTTCATGTCAGTGTCACAGTTTTACCAATACAATGTGAAACTCTGCTGCAACAACTGCACCGACAGGAAAAGTTATTGGTTAGCACAGGCATTGCAGCAAAGCATGCTCCAGAATTTCATGTCATAAATTCTGGCAATGCATGCTGCAGCAAGCTAGAAAGTTCCTGTTCCTAAAGGACTACTTATTCTCTATTGGATGTCACTGCACCAAAGTCAGAATGACTTTATCTCCACTAGTTTTTCAGATTGTTCCCATCTTAATTCAAACCTTTTAAATCCCTGTATACAAAAAAGGCAACCAAAACCTGAGGTAATTCAGTATATTTGATTACTTACACCATCAATTCCACTCTAATTAAAGTTAGACCTTATAGGCCCGCACTGTTGATTCACTAACCTTCTTTAGATGAAGCTGGGGAAGCCAACACAAAAACCCATTTTGTGGCTGAAGCAGTACCACGAGGCACAATATTATTCCAGTAAGTGCCTGAAAGGAAAGTTTCATTAGTATGACAGTTAATTTTCTGTTAGAATTCAAATATCATCTAGACACAATTTTCTGCACCAATCTTTCAGTAGCTGTTTTTTGGAAAGAAAATTGCCTCAACACATATATATGCTTATTGTGTGTTCACACAGAATTTGGATTCAGGAAAAGAGAGGGGAAAAAATTAATGGTCTTCAACAGGAGACCAAATGGATGATGAGTTTAAACAGACAGTAGTATATACCTATCCCTAATGTTTATCTAATTTAAAAATGTAATAAATGAAAGTTCTACTTGGGGAAATATATCTGGAAAAATAAAGCAATTCCTCCATTATTGCTGTAATACCATAACAGTGCTGTTCTGTGTAGTCACACTGATCCTGAACTGCGATCCATTATGCCTACATACAACGGGAACAGTAGCATAAGACTGCCTTCTCACACAAGAGAAGAGACAAACACAAGTACTAGCAGGAGTAACTTGTGTACAGGAGTAACTTGTGCACAGTCCATTCGTGCACAATGAATTTGTCATGAAAAATATTTCCCTTTGGATGGGAAAGCATTCAGACCGTTTGCTAGAGAAACAGTTTTCAAACGTGGAGTTGCTTTGTTAAAGCTGCCCTGACTCACCATGGATTATTCCTGTGGTGATCGAACTGTAGTTTAGTTACTTTCTCCTGTTTATTTTTTTTAATTTGGAAACATTAGACTAAAATCACACCAACCTATTAAGTTTCCCTTTGCCACATGGAATTCATTTTTGCCTGAAGAGATCCAGACTCCGCTGCCATTAACTCCAAGGAGGCTGGGTTGACACTGAAGCTGCTGTGACCAAAATGCCATTCGAAGTTTGTCAGCCACTTTCTCTACAGGTGCCTGAGCTGCTGTTGCCACTGAATGTGTGGCCTGGATTATTGTCTGGAACAGGCTGCACTGGTCAAACACTACATAATCAGTGATGCTTACCTGGAAAAGAAAAAGTGTTACTGATGACTCACTAAGCTTTGGGGTGAAAGACAGAATATTCCACTAAATTATCAAATATTCCATCTATTTGAGTGGAATATTCTGTACAGGATATCTATCACAAGATTAGAAGACTTCTAAGTCTTGGAAGAGAAAAAAATATATGGGACATTCTGATTAAGCAAGTCTTGATAATAAACCACAACCCCCGCCTACCTAACAATCTACTTTAAAATCTGCATTTTAAGAAAGTCCTATGTTTTGGGATGACTGAATATCATCTCTCTCCAACTAAACCCCACAAATTAAGAGGTGGAATTCCAATTCACCAAAAGGAAGAGAGAAACCTGCACAGCATAGCAGTTTAAGTCACATGGTGAAAACCTGGTAGGAAGGGGTCTAAATGATCCATTGCACAAGTTTTATCATGGACAATTAGGATGACAATGGTCTGGGTACTTCTAGAAAGGAAAGAAATGCTTGAGAGCAGCAGAAGAAAAGCAGTCTGTGCTAAGGTATCGAGCTACATGTAGCATCGATACAACTTGGCAGACCACTTCTTGTATTCTTGAAAGCTAACATGATGCTGTTCTGGATGACCATGGAATACTCATTTCCCCCTTTTCTGTAACAAGAAAAGGGATTTCAGCCATAGTCATCCTGAAGTTTTAATACAGTGAATAAAGAATGCTATTATTTATTGCGCAATTCATTAAATTTTATGCTTAGAAACTTGTGAGAAAACAAACCCTGGGTAGAAGATTAAACTGAAAGCAAAATTAAAAAATGAAGTAAATAAATAAATGCCTACTTGCCACCAATGGTTGTCATCTCCTTGGGGTTTCTTTGAGACTATACCAGTTCTGAACCACAGATTTCCATGGATATCCAAAGCCCACAATGTCTGTTGATCTCCAAGGGTTATACACACTGGTTCCAAAGCTTGCATTTCACTGGAAACGCGAATCAGAATAAAATTAAGAAACTCTGCTTCAAATTTAGGCTTGTGATTGATTTCAAACTTTCAGTTATTGTTAGGCAAACTAATAAATTTGAATGATCACAAGTAAAAACCATTCAACAACAAAATACAACTCCTTCAAAGATCATTAAAGATTGAAACTCTGAAACATAACAGTAAGACAAAAACTAAGTTGTTCAGTAGTTAATAAATAAGCAGCTTAAGTTTTTGGTAAAGTAGCTCCATGAATACATCTCCTTCAATTTCTCACCCTATTCACAGATCAGTTCAGGTATCATAAATAGAAAACTGAACCTAACTACAAAGCAGAGATAACTACTGAGTTGGACTGCGAGTTTCCTGTAAAATAAATCATCTTTAAGCTCAGAAGATCAACAGTATCACACGATCTTATCAGGTATTTAACAAGTAGGCAACAATGCTATTTCTTTCTGATAACTTTACTTGAGAACTTAAAAACAAATATGGATTTCTTTCTACTATTTTATTATGAAACAGAAGAACATTACGTATATGTAAGTTGTAGGCCAAGTAAACATCATCTTTAAGTAAATTGGCTAAATGTTATGCAAATTTCAGATTTGAACAAGACACTGAACATATCTTCAGTCTCTTCAAGAAGAGTCAAATACAGATTGGGAGGTAACAAGTTGGAACTTCACAAAAGGGTATTTGGGAGGAAATAAAGTCATATGACTGCAAGAACTGGAATTTCTTTCTATACTTGCTTCATGCTGATGTTACAAGAGACTGTATTCCTGATTCTCAAAGCCAGCAGTGAACACTTGGAGCTTTTAAATTTATCACAAACTACCTACTCTGAACACAGGAACTAGGAAGCAAAATAACAATTACCCAGAATATCTATTAAAAATTTGTGACTGGAAAGTAGAAAAACTGTGGACAAGACAATGCTGAGATTCAGTCTCTGAAAAAAATAGCTTAGTACATTAGAGAGTACATTAAAGCCATTAGAGCATAGTATTCAATCAAAGAAGTCATGTTATCATACATTAGGAGTCTTTTAAGCATTGTTCTCACTTTCCTAAAGTTTCTTTTAACTGAATTATTACTTCTGTTTACATGGTTTCTTTCACTACATAAAAGCCATTCATCAGACAGAAAAACACTGGATACATCTATACAAAGACTGAAAGGAGATACGTGTGCATGTATACAGACATATAATACCTGCATGCTATCCACAGCAAGGTTCAGGTAACAAGTTTGCAAACTTCAAGGAGCTCTAACATGAAAACAACTTGTTTCATTCTGGTTATGAAGCTGGCCTGCTGCAGTGTCATTACCTGACAATATCGCTCTTCCACTGCTCTCCTTCAGGACAAAAGCTGCGCACTCCCTCCCGGTAGAGCAGGGCCCGCTGCTCACTCAGTGCCCACACAACATTATTTCTGGATGTAACCTGCGACAGTGGATAAGGGCAATCAACCTTTACTGCTCTGGCACAAGGACGATCCACACTCAGGCCTAGAAATCAGAAAAGGAGGATTGCTTTACAAGCTTGGACTTTTTGCAACTGAAAGAAAAAAGCTACCAACAGGAAAAAAAAAAAAAAAAAAGCTGGGGGAAATATCTCTGATGTTAACACTTCTCATTTGATTTTGTCTTGATAGTCTGCTCTTTTAATCAACTATTAATCATTTCCTCTAATATCGCTGGATTTGTATTTTAAGAAATAAAACATTGTACATCCTTCAACATCTTGCAGAGCCTACGAGACCTGCGCCATCATTTCTGTTCCTTTTCTCCCTCTAGTGTCAGTATCAGGAATTTCCGTTTACAAAATGTGTTAAGACTTCAGAGAAGCACTGAAGACAACACCACAAGAATTTTTGCCCCAAACATGCCAAGGAGAAACAACCTGATCTGAATAGAGGCAGCTGAACAACTTCAGAAGAGCATACCACAGCAAGAAGTACTGAGAGAGGTTCTGATAGATTACAGGCAGTTTACATCTTTAAAACTATAACCTGGAGGAACACGCATCTTTTTCACAATTACACTGAAGACACATCTACACACCTATATGAAACACCCTAACAGATAAAGCTTTTGCTTAGTCTTCTCATGCTTCTAACTCAAAAAGCAGAACATGGAACAGACCCTCCTAAGGGCCCTACTAAGGCACACAGAAAATAAAGATGAGGTGATTGGTGGCAACCAACACGGCTTCGCCAAGAGCAAATTGTGCCTGACAAACTTGGTGGCCTTTTATGATGGAGTTACAGCATCAGCGGATAAAGAGCAATTGATATAATCTAAACAGACTCATGCAAAGCATTTGATCCACTCATTGGATAAGGAATTGGCTGGATGGTCAAGCTCAGAGAATTTGGTCAATGGCTCAATGTCTAAGTGGAGACCGCTGACGAGTGACACTCCTCAGGGAATGGAACCAGTGCTGGAGCCAGTGTTATTTAACATCTTTGTAGGCAACATGGACAGTGGGACTGAGTGCACCCTCAGCAATTTTGCAGATGACACCAAGTTGAGTGGCGCAGGTGACGTGCTGAAGGAAAGGGACGCCATCCAGAGGGACCTGCACAGGCTTCAGAGGTGGGCCCATGCCAATCTCATGAAGTTCAACAAGGCCAAGTGCAAGGTCCTGCACCTGTGGCAATCCCAAGCACAAATACAGGCTGAGCAGAGAACTGCTTTAGAGCAACCCTGAGGAGAAGGATTTGGGAGTGTTGGTTGATGAAAGACTCAACATGAGCTGGTAATGTGCACTCACAGCTCGGAAAGCAAATAGTATCCTGGGCTCCATCAGAAGAGGGGTGGCCAGCAGGGACAGGGAGGTGATTGGCCTTCTCTACTCTACATTTGTGAGGCCCCACACAAGAATGACATGGAGCTGTTGGAAAAGGTCCATAGGAGGGCCACAAAGATGATCAGAAGGTTGGAACACCTCCTCTTACAGGGACAGGCTGAGCGAGCTGGGGCTCTTTGGCCTAGTGAAGAGAAGGTTCTGGGGTACTTTACAGTGGCCTTCCAGTACCTGAAGGGGGGGGTCTAGGAAAGCTGGGGAGAGACTTTTTATAAGAACATGTAGTGATAGGACAAGGGGAACTGGCTTTAGACTGGAAAAAGTTAGATTTAGACTAGGTATCAGGACGAAATTCTTTACTGTGAGGGTGGTGAGACACCAGAACCGGTTACCCAGCGAGGCTGTGAATGCCCTCTCCTAGAGGCCTTTAAGGCCAGGCTAGATGGGGTGCTGAGCAATGTGTGCAGGGAGGTGTCCCTGCAAATACCAGGGGGGACTGGAACTAGATGATCTTAAAGGTCTCTTCCAACTGAAACCATTCTACAATTCTGTGAAGTAGACTAATAACTGTATGATATTTTAGAATGACAATACGACAATTGCTAAGCTCCAAACATCCATTAGAGCGTGGGGAATGAAAAGATCCTAAAGAAGCAACTACCATCACTAGTTGCCTCACATTAACAAGACATATAGTGAGAATTTATTTTCGGCAATGATAAATTTAGAAGCCCAAGAATAGCAGAATGCAAGCTGATTTAATCAAACCAATCTCTCACAGGGAAGCAAAATATTGATTAAAACCCCCACAGAGCCCTGTGTGACTGGCATCAAGTTCACTCTATCATCGCTAGCCGCGCTTATTGGCAATATACACGTGACCTTGGGCAGGCCACTTGACTTCTCTCTAACTACCAAGCATACTAAAAAAAATAATTTAAGAGCAGAACGTATTTGAAATAATGCTATTCAATTTTCTTGATCAAAAAGAATTTCTATATACACTACAGCAAGTAAATCTACAAGAGAAATTAGAAAACAAAAGCTAAATGGAAGATAAATAAGAATTTTGACAGCTACTTGGAAATATTGTCCTGTGTTAATATATTTTATTGGTTTTTCCTTTACTCATCGTCCTCTTACTTGTACAATAATTCCTTCAGCACATTATTTGTGATTTTTCTCTATCAACTCAGTTCTCTGTGCGAATTCCCCTTGCCCAAACTTCATCCTAGAAATTGACTTCCCTTTAGCTGCATGTATCTAGCCTGAATGCTCTCTGTACAACACCTTCCAAATGTATTCTCCTCTTTGTGTTGAAGCAGATAAATCTAAGGCCATTGCTTCAAAGCTGCTACTGCACTATCCCTGTCTCTGATCCTTCCTCATTCATAGCCAGTGACAAAGCAGCTCTAGACTGCTGCTCCCTAGCCACTTCCATTTCTCCACGGACCATTTCTCAACACTTCTGAATCCATTCACGGTCTTCCATCTCACACTACCTTCCTTTCATTATCAACTGGTATATGTTACCTTCAACAGATTATTGTTTTCAAAACAAATAGCTTCTGCTTTCACTTGCACTGTCTCCCCTACACTTGAATTTCTTGGCAACATCTATACACTATCTAATTTCATCTCAAATTCCTACTTAAAACTTTATTAAAATCCTTCAAGCAAGCAAACAAAACCCACTCGAGGATCACATGTTTTAGTGTACCATGCCATTTTCAAGGCAAGAAAATTAGTTCAATATTTTCTGCAATCCTGTTTTCATTTATCTGCATCCATCCCATGTCTTCTTCACAAATCCTCTCTATCACATGTACTCCACTTAACACAAAGAACAAGTGGCAATGAATTGGCTTCCTCAGCAGCCCCACATAAAATCTCACAACTGTTTCTAAAGACTTCTCAAGATGAAAAGGTTTTTCTATGTTTTGGCTGTGAACAAAAGTTTAAAACCAAATGCAACTGTTTAATAGACTTGAGCTCTAGAATTTTAGCCTGTAAAAATCAAAAGGTACCTGTTTGTAGATACAGATCTCCATTTGTTCTGATAATCCAGGCAGTATCATCACTTAAAGCTACAAATACAGCCTGAGGTAAAGCCTCGTACCAGTGTCGTTTTCCTTTTATAGTTACTTTTCCACAAGCAAACGCTTTATTAGTCTTCTGTTCGATCTTCCAGAGAAGAGCCCCTGTATGAGAAATAGAGAGAACACAAAATCACTTAACAATTACTACAACAGAGATGTTGACTTGTCCAACCCACACCTTAACTAACACAAAGGAAAAACAACTACTAAACTAAAATGCAAGATTTATAAACCCATGCAATTTCTTCTTAATGGCAAGAACAGAACTAGTAGCCAACTTCTCTAGAAATTTCTGAAATGCATTTATCATTATAGATTCCATGTGATTTTTAAGTGTTTAAATGAAAATCACTTCTTAGTTATACACATTGAAAACTAACAACCAAAACTTCACATCAGGATAAAATAAGCCCACTATTATGAGATTAAGCTTACAGTCTGTCTCCCCACTAGTTTAGTACATCCTCGGTACATGTACAGAGACACTGATAATGTCTGCAACAAATCCTTTCATCAAAATTGTACTTCCTGATTTCTAAAAAAGCATATGAAGAGGGGATAATTGTACCCCTCCCACTTTTCACAAATACTAATAGTTTTAGTAATCCAAATCATAACTTTGTTGGATTGGTGACAAAGACCTGAACAGACTGCACCATGCCATACACCAGCAGGCATTGCTATCACCTGTCTACTTCTTAGCACGTCACAAGTAGACAAAACTCAAAAACACAACTGCACAAATCCATCTTAGGAGCTTTTTCCAATTAGAAAAAGAAAAGCAAATGGAACTCCAAATTTAACTACTGATTAGCATCCATGCTGGTTCATACCAGAGTAATATATTATATTAACTGCCTTTGAATAATTCCTGAAATCAGGATTTGATTCCATTTTGACTCTTGTGTTAATATGCTCATGTAAATATATCCAATTTCAAAATTGTGAATACTAGAAATCCACACAGGCTCAAGAAAACACTGGGCAAGTTCCTGGAACAGAGGGAATAACAAATTCGCAGAAATGCTTAGGCCACCACCAACTGCAATCTAAAACTACTGAGGGCAAATGTCAGACACGCTAGCCCTATTTCTTCCCTGCAGGCATCTGCCTCTGTCCAGTTTCAAAGACATGATACTGAGCTGGATGAATCTATACTAATATAGCCACTCTTGCATTTTTTTTTTCTAGAACAAAAGTTAACTACAGGTTCAAAGAAAAAAAAATCTTTCTTCTAAAACCAGACAGCAAATCTTTTACACAATGCAAAGACTGATGTCCTTTTAGAGATGACAGAGGAAGAAAAGTAATGGCAGAACAGAAAGTTTAGAAAATAGCAGGGAAACTTTTGTTTGCATACCAGTCCTAAAGGAATCTAAACAGCTAAAAATGATGCAAGTTCATTACCAAAGACCATCACCTAAATTAATTTGGTATGTAGATGTACTGATGATGCAATCACATCCTTTGAGTTTTTCTTCATCTAATCAAATAACAGTTAAGTATTAAAAAACTAAAAAGCAAAGGGAATGCACAATTCTATTAAAGTTACAGTGAAGCAGAAGCCAACCAACCTGAAGGGGAAACCGCCACCTGCTGGACTCCATCTTCAAACTTCTGCCACCGCAGCCCAGCAGCTGGAAGTGCACTGCAATACAGGCTGCCTCTGTAGTCCAGGCACCAAATATACTTCTCTGAGACGGCCAGGCTCAGGATGCCATAGCCAGGGCCAGAGTATCCCATCCAGCTCTCTGCAAACTAAGAGCTGTACAGTCAGCAAAGTGGCAGATGTCTTCAAACTGCACAAGATAATGGCTGTACAAGCACGAGCAGCTGCCATGTTTTTGATTTTAAAAAACACTAAACTTAAACTTCGATGTACCCTAATCAATAAATGCCTAGGGTAAAACAAAACTACATTTATCATTGTTTTCTAACATACTATGTACTGCAAACTAAAAATCCTACAACAAAAGTTATAGCAAAAAGAAAACCAGATCATAGAATCATAGAATCACAGAATGGCCTGGGTTGAAAAGGACCACAATGATCATCTAGTTTCAACCCCCCTGCTATGTGCAGGGTTGCCAACCACTAGACCAGACTGATGCTCTCATACGTGACCAATATTGTAAGCACCTACACAGCATTTCTAAACATTTCGGAGTATGACAGCCCAAAATTAATTTAAAAAGGAAAAAAAAGGCTTCTATACTTTGGGCTGTAGCTGTGACTAAATAGGATGCTACCAACTTAAAACTCAACATTTCTCAACAAGTATTTGGTTGATCTCAACACATGGAACAATTAAGACCTCTGCTAAAACTCCTTGTGGGTTTGTTTGTCTGTTTTACAGTTTTATAGATTTTACAGTTAATCTTAGTACTTCTCTTTTATAATCTATAAGAATATTCCTACTTTTGGCTATGTTTAAATCATAAAATAACAATTAAGAAATGAGGGGTTACAGGAGAAGAAAACACACCAGCGTTTAAAATAGCACTAACTGCTGTCTATGACACAAAGAAAGATTAATCCTCATTCTGAGTATTTGCAGGAAAAATGAACCTTAACCAGATGCCATCCATGAAAGACAATCAGCATTAAATTCCTAGCAAAGTTAATGGAAGTTTGGATACTATCTTGCAGGACTCGGACTACTGGAGACCTGACAAAGAGCAGCCTTTAAGCATGACTACTTCTCACTCTTTAACGGATGTGCTTACAACACAACTTTTTGTCAACTGGAAATCACAATAATGTTTATGAAGACAGTACAGCTTCTCCAGCTTCTAAGGACTCATCCACCATTCTGAAGTCTGATACATCACATTTCATAGGAGTCATGACACATATTGTTGCTTTGGTTTTATGTTCTACTTGTTGAACTAAGCAAAAAGAAAACTGCCTCCCTGAAGATGTAAAGAACAGTCACTACATGCAAGTGTGCTTTTTTTTTTTTTCTTCAAAATATTGAGATTTAAAATATTTTTAGCTAAATTGAAAACATATACCTGATCAGATTTTAACAGCACCATTTCATCTAGGCTTATCCTGGTCATATCCTGAGAACCAAGCTCAGCACCAACTTCAGGCACACTAGTCTCTGAGGATGAATATGGTAATCCATGCCCATAAATATCCTCTTCATCACTTGAGGCAGATTCCTCCTCTGCCTTACTCTCACGTGTGTTTGTTACCCATTCAGCACTGCTAGTACTAGATTTAACTTTGATTACGCTTTCAAAATTCCATCCAGAAATGGAACTATGCTCTGAATCAACACCTTTAGAGATGTCAAAGTGGTGAACAGAAGGAACTGACAGAGCACTGTCTATTAGAGAATGCTGCTGTTGGTCTTCCCTACCAGTTTCATCACTTTCATTCAGCGTCAGTGATGTCTGAACACCAAGTACACTGTTACATTCCAAAAGCATTTGGTCCGGCTGTTCAAAACATTTTTCACCATCCTGCAGCTTCATTTTATCTAGATTTTCATTTAATTGACACGATGTACTAAAATCCTGTTCTTCTTGGTCTAGCTTTCCAAGACAGCATTCACTGCTTGCAGAAAACACACAATGGTTATTTTCAGTAACAACAGTGCTTGTTAAGTCTTCTGTGAGGATGGGAGGAGAGACAGACGTCAAAGCATCTATAATTGTCGATGTACCCATGCCGCTGTCACTGTTGGGAAGTTTCTGTAAGTCAACTGTGTCTCCATTTTCTTCATTAATTAGTACAGTTGCAGACTCAGGAGACTGTAGGACACTAAATGTTTCTGAACCATTATCTTCTTGCAGGACTGTATTGGACTCCACACTGAACATGCTTTCCTGATCTGGAGACCCGGTACTCAAACGATCAATGCTTCCACTCATGAGGCTGGATGTCATAGAAAATGAATCTGCGTTCACTGAATGCGGGCTGTCGCCAGAAAGCTGACGCTCATAATTTGGTGTACCTTCCAGAGAGATGTGGTTTCTCTTGGTTCCACTTTCTGTTCTCACAAAAAATAAAAAAATAAAAGGGAGAGGGGAGGAGGGCATGAGTCATATTAGAAAGCTTTAATAATATTTTTATTGGTGCTAAAAATAGAATTAAATCTACATTTTGGCATACTGATTATTTTTTCTACTTGAACACTAAATGATACATAGAAAATCAAAGACGACTGAATAACAAAACATTTTAAAATTACAACATCCACATAAAAACCTTTTAGAATATTTAACTGTTTACACTCTTTCAATAAACTACAAAAGAATGGCTGAGAAACAGTGTCAAATACCTTAGGATGAATAGGTAATACACAATTCCAACAAAACTGGAAGTAGAATCCCACTGCATATTACCAACAGCTATATCTTACAATATGAAGCATGTTTACAAAAAGCAAAACAACCTTAAAAGGAATAAAATAAACAGATCTGAAAAGAAAGGTATCATCAATGTATTGATTTCAAAGCAGGTATTCATCTTAAAAGATAAAAGATCCACCACGACCACTCCAAATATGTCAGATCTTAGATTTTATGTGAGAATGCAAGATCAACAAAGCACATTAAGAAAGCACTCGCGTGAGATGTATCAGATGTGACACATTCTAATAATGACCAGTGGCAGGCAAAGTTCTGCAAGACTTACCTTGTTTCTTCTTCTTTTTCTTTTTCACCTTAATTGGCTTTACAATGAGTTCCTGATCAAAGTCTTCAGAGCTGATAGTGCTGAACCGTTGTGAAGAAAGCTGACATTCTCTCTGAGCTTCTGAGAATTGGTCTGCACATATCAGAAAACTAGAGCCACTGTCCACAGAATTTACTGAACTGCTCCTGCTTCTTGATTCACTTGCTACAGAGCAGCCCCTTTTTCTTGTTTCACTGCTCAAGTCTCCCACTCTATCAAAGCTTTTTTCCAATAGCGCTGGAGTTTCCAGATCATCTTTCACTAAAGAGTCTCTTTTATCACCAACAACTGAGGGAGAAGTAACTATTTTTTTATCTGTTTCCACTGAAGGGCTGGATGATGCGGATGCAACTACTGATATCGGCGTCAGCAAATGAGGACTTGAATCTGTTGAAGGATTCAGCAGTTTTGAACTCCCATCTGAAACTGACCAAAAGAAAAATAAAGGTATAAACACTAGGATGTCAACTTGGTTGGAGGGTGCTCTGAGAAATTTTATCCAAAAGTATTTTATCTAAATGCACAACATTTCAATTAGATATACATACACAGTGTAAATTTCATGCAAGTAAATCTATATCAAGTTATTTTAGTGAAATCAATCCTCCAAAGTCGGCATCAAAATTTTATTAGAAAATTCTGCTTTTATGTTCACATAAAGGGAATGGTTACAGATCTTTAGTGTGGAAGATCTAACCGTGCTATGTACTGAAGTACCATCATTTATTTTCAACTTCTTTAAATATTCAGTATCTCGGGCAAAATGAATTTAAACAACAGTAACAACAAACAAACAAAAAACAACAAAAAATATCCACCAAGATCAAGGAAAATTGACCAGATCAAATCACTGTAGTAATTAGAAGAAAATACATTTCAAGAAGACTCTTCCCAACCATGCCTGGAAGTTAAGAATAAAATAGTAAACGGTCCCTAGAAGTTTGTGAGTGTTGAACCACTTAAATGACCAAAGCTATCACTAAGCATGAGGATCAAACTAAGTCCTCTAACATCTCTAACATCCAACAGATCTTCACAGCATATCTGCTAGCATTTTGCTAATAGAAAGCTAAGACAAGAGACTTTTAAATACATAAGTAATCCTTCTGTGAATTTAATGTGCTGGATAATGGTGTTTACTTTTTTTTTTTTTTTTTAAATGAGGAGAAATCAGCCAGCATCATCGTTAAGAAAGTACTACTAATCCCTTTTACAGAGTTCTAGAAACACAGATCCTGAGCTCAGATGTCACCAAGTAAGAAAAGAAAGCCTTCAAATTATTTTTGGAGATTTCATGAATATTCTTCGGGTGCTTTGCCAGTTCTTTCTTATTCATTGCTGGGAAGGCTGAGATTTCCTCTGGAACACAAGTGATGACAGGTGGAACAAAATCATCCCACTCAATTATCGCCAACCCAAACAATTGGGATTAACCAGTAGTTAGATAATCAAGATTGTGAAAGCAGATTGCTCAAGCAATACTGTTTAGAATAAAGATGCTTGGTAAGGAAAATATTAATCAACTCTCAAAAAAATATAATTAATTTCTTAATGCCTTCACTCTTGCAGACAATAGAGACAGACAAGCAGATAAATCTGAGCTCTAAATATAGTCTTCTGGAAAAAAAAAAAAAAAAGAGCAATTCCAGATAAACTAGTAGGTTGGGTTGTTTTTTTTTTTCCCAGTATGCAAATACATAACAACATAAAACCAACCACAAAGGTATGACAGACATCATGTTCCACAAGGCACATGCTCAAGTTTGCTAAGTTGTACAAACCTAGTGATGACAGTCCTTCAGGTCTGCTTGAAATTCTTATGATGTCTCTATCTCCCTTCAAGAGAAAAATCTCATTGCTGGTGCAGGACACAGACACAATATCACCATATCCTTCCAATCCACCAATCAAAGCCTATAAGGAAATACCAAATAGAGAATTCATTGGCTACAGATTAATCCATTGTTTGGACAAGATTAGGCTCTTAACAAATTGTTCACTGAAATTTAACTGACACGGACAGTTATTGGATGTTAAAAGAAAATAAAAAAAAAGAAACAAGAAAGCATGTTGCAACCCTGGCATAGTTTAATTTTTGTACTCATTTCCATTCTAATGCCACAAGTCTTATCACTTCTGTCTCAACAAGAAGCAATCAATTACTTCAATAATACACAATTTGGTGGCAAAAAACCCACAAACTACTCATGTTTGATATCATTTATACAAAAAGATACTAGCTTGCATTCATTTTCATTCACACTTTTGTGAATGTCACTTAAAAGACAAAATAGCCAGCAGCTTTTTCTAACAGAAATAAAATCTAATGCTAGTTTTTTGGCTGACACCAACAATTGTAGAAAAGAAATAAATAGTTCCAGGCATATCTTCTAGGCATAAAGTTTCTTTTTGCACGAACTATCACATTTTATATACGCTTTTCTAAGTATTTAAATTGAGTACAAAGTTAATATCTGGACTGAAAGCTTTAAATATATTTTTGTTACATTCAATATACAAACACTGTGAGTATATCCTTGCAACGACAACTTGAAGAGGGAGAAAACCTTTCTAGGTTTCAGCATGAGTCTAAATCATAGGAATATAAGGACACAACCCAAAGAGTCTCACAGCATAGCATGAACAAAAGCAAGAAACAGAATATGCACCCATAAAATTCATCTACCTGATTCACGGTGTCTAATAAATAGATGCTGTACTCATTCCAGGTCAGCACCCATCCTTCTCGAAAAAAGCACGAAACAAGCCCAAGGTGTTTCTCTGGAGAGCTGTAACTTCCTCTGTCGGGTGGCTCCAAACGAGGATACAATTCAAAAGTTCGTATTCCTCTAGCAAATAAATCTTTCAAGATGAACGTGGCCTGAACAGTTCCATGGACATCAGATTTCCAGAGGCGAAGCCCAGGTCTGGCAGCAAACAGCGTCAGATCAGTCTGCTTACAGAGGCCAGGTATAAAACATGCTCCAAATTTGCCACTGCTAAAATGCAAAACAAGAATGTATTTTAAAAGCTATACACACAACACAGAAACAAATGTTAAAACTAATAAATTAACTCATAAATTTACAACTGCAGGTTATCAACATTAAAAATGTTGTCCATTTGAAGTATTCCATCAAATGTCTGAAATACATATAAGACAAGAACTGTATTTCCAAATAACATGGATTTTTCAGCTCAGCTTCAGGTGTCAGACATCAAGTCCGTCAGACAAATTAAATGACCTTCCCTAACACAACTCACAGCCCCAACATCACTCTGTCTATCCTAGAAAGATCCTACTATGCAGCCATCCTTCTCCCAGTATTAATGAAAACAAGCAAAACTCCACTACAGAATGCTAAGAAACTGATAACCTCTATTTGCAAAGAACAGATCTCAGCTGTTAAAATCTTTGTCCTTTGCACATAAAAACACCATCACTGAAGAAATAAAAAAGTAAGGGGGTCCCTGGTGTTCCTATCATTACCCGTATGTCTGAAACATACGTTATAAACCTCCTCTAAAGAGTCACAGTCCAATATTTCCAGATACAGTCAGTCATGCTGATCCAATACTGAGTACCCACTTCTTTCATAACCAGAATGATAACGCAATAAAAGATGCCAGGAAGCCATATTAGAAGTTCCTAGCCTTAAGTGATTCCTATACACATTCCTTTTTAATTCACTTTGGGTTGTTAAAAAAACCCAAAAATTAAGTCACTGACTGCATCAGCCACGAGACAGACCCCTATTTACAATGGTCGCTCACCCCAAGCCACAGTGAAGAGTGAGGGACTGCAAAGTTTAAAGTTCTTTCAGTTTAAACAAGAAAACACCTTAAATAATTTTTGCATCGCAAACAAAAAGACAGTAATACACTTGCAACCAATTTTCTAAGTAAGCAAAATTGTCATTTCATGTTTGAGCATACGTTGCTACTCTGTGTTTTTTGTAAGTGGACTGCTCTGTTCTATTAATTTCACTGCTTAGGTCACCCTTTCTATAATCCATCCTGAAAAGCTAGAATTAACTAATGTGCCTGCATCAAGATTTTATGAGGGTTACTTTTTTCTGGGCTGTGTTCCAACTTGCTTGACAGATCTCTCTTCCGTGTAAAAAAGTATGGTTCGTTGTAAAGTAGAGACAAGCAGCACTTTCTGGTTGTAATCCAACTGGACAATTGAAGATGGCTCTTCCAGCACAAGGCTGGAGTTGCAAACACCCTTTTAAAGACACATGAAATTAGTAACAGTCAAACTTTCTAAAAACATATGATAGTAACAAACACTTTAAGGAAAAGAACGCGCCCAAAAATGTTAAAACAAACAAAAAACAACTTTTGACCCACTGTTCCATTGTGTTCACTTATTGAACACAAAGCTACTTTATGCAGACAGGAGAGCTGTTAGATAGCATGAGACTGCTGGTATGCACAATGAAATTCAATTTCCCTGGGAATTTAGCTTATTTCATTTGAACTCAACAGAAACCCTCAAATATGTATTTTCTTCCTTCTCCACTGCCAGGCTACAGGAAGCTATGACAACTGTTATGTTTGGTGACATTAAAACTTTCTGTCATATTAATCATTGGCAGTCCTAGACCACCCAAGAGTCACAGATAAATCAGGACGGCAGCTGTTTTCATATATGTGAAGAAAAGTTTAAACAAGTTAGTATTTGTTATGTTGATGTCCCAGGTCCATATTAATTCACAAATGATTAGAAAAATCCTACTCACTGGTAACACAGTAGAGCCACCCAGTAGAACCCAATCCTATTTTCATTCTACACTCTAGACTGAGATGCTGGAAAAAAGGAAAAAGTACTCCAACAACCCAGTGAACCAGCAAGCTGCATCATTTGAGTGTACTCTTTCCAAGTAAGCAAGGAAACAGTATTTGCTGAAATCTGAAGAGGTGTACAGTTATTTCAGAAATGAATACTAAAAATACTGATCCTTCCCATTTGATATTTCTTAAAGCTGTTGTAAAGGATTCCCAGTGATCAACTTCATGGGTGCACGCACATCTACCTATGAGTTCACACACAAATAAAACAATCCAAGTAACTACATGATATTAAGCAATCCACCAACTGCTACATATTTAAACACAGAAGCTTTTTTCCTTCCCCCAGAAAGTTGTAAATTAGAATAAGGGTCTTTTACGTGGTCTAGATCGAGGGCAGAGTAGACAATCTTCCCTCTGTCATCTCCAGAAAATAATTTCATTCCATTGGGACTCCAAGCTAAAGCTGTAATGCTACTTTTGTGGATACCAGCAACATCAAATCGCCGAAGCTGTGAAACAATACCAAAGAAAGTCAAGAATGAAGGGCAAACACAGACACAACGCCTACTTGGTGACTTGGACTGATAAATCAGTGGCTCAATCCAAAAATGCAAGTCATTCTAATTTTTGTTAGAAAAAACAAATAACAAACTAACCAACCACTGAATAGCTCAAGTCAGCTATTACAGATGAGTTCAGCGGAAGAATTTTTGATTAAATTCCTTTTGTAATGAAAAATATGTTTTAAGATCAGTGCTTTTCTAAACTTAACATATGAAGCATAAAACATTCTGAAAAATTTAATCAGGCAAAATTCTCTGTTTTTCACTACTACAAAGAATCCCCATAATACTCTACTAGGATCCACCATAATAAATCTCACAGTTTAGCCAAAAGCAAAGGTTTACCTGTTTGTTTCTTCCAGGCAATGAAGACACAAGCTGAAAAACTGCAACTCGACCCGAGGCTGTACCAACAGCAACTAGATCATCAAAACAGCTCAGCAGCTTCACGAAAGTTATAGATTCACACTTCCCCTGTTGGAAGAAAAACCATACATAAAACTTGAAGAGTTACTGAGAGTCAAAAAACCAGTTATGAATAGCCACTCAATTCTGAGCACCTTAGCACAGATAAAAACTTCATTAGAAGGGACACAGTAAAAGTCTGTATTTACCTCAAAATTATATTTCTTCATCTGGTTTAAATGTCTGCAGTAGAGATAAAGCATTCCAATGCTGCTTCCCACTGCAATGTAGTCACCATTGGTATCAAGTGCTGTGAGGTACACCACAATAGAGCGAAAGCCTTTTTGGATCTTTGTTGGAATGGCATTGAGTAGATAATATAAGGGACAAAACTCCTTAAATAGAACCGGTGAAGCCACAGATGCCATAGCAAGTACTGGCATCAGTAATTTTAAGGCTGAAACAAACACATCTACTTCATGGCATAAGGAAATCTGAAAGACAAAACCAAAACATATAAAGTATAATCCATTAACTTCCTTGGAGATAGTAAGTAGTTAACAGAAAGTCACTGCCTAACAAGTAGGCATGCAGAAATTGTCAGATTTTGTTTGGTATAAAAAAACAAAAGCTTAACTCTTCTAGGGGACATAAGCTGTTCTTAGAATAATCTCATTGTGTAGAATAAGCTTGTTTTTTCAGTTCAGTAATCTAAGGATGCATGGTAACTGCTAATTCTGGGATAAGCTTTTTTCCTTGCAGCTACAAGCTTATCAAAGTTGAGAAGATAGAGTAATTTGAACTCAGTTGGCTAGTGAAAGATCTGTATGGGCTATGCCTGACACGGAACAATCCACATGGACTGTTTCTTCATCTATCTGAAGATTCTCCCCTCAACCTTGCCAGAATTGAGAGCACGGAATGTTCACTGTAAGTAGGCATTGTGAGATCAAAGTGTTCAGCTCCCCATTCTCCTTGCCCCCGGCCTCAAGAACAGAAATCATTTGCTACAAGCAAACCCAATTAATAGAGTGGTTTAGAGTTCCCCAAAAACAAATGCAGCTTTCCAAGAAGAGAATTGTGGATATCTGGAGAGATAAGCAAGCAAGCAATGTTGAAGATTTTCTTTAGCTTCAGCAGTTGTAACTTCCTTAAAGAAAAAAGAAACAGAAGTACAGCAAAACACACAAATGCTGAAAATTGTTCTGAAAAACATTCCTTGTACAGTCTGCATGGTATGTCCTATTTTGCCTAGTTAGTATTTCTCTAAGGATGAAAATGGTATTTGTTTCACAGCTTCACACATTGCTTGCAGCGTATCTCCACTAAATTAGAAATAACATCGCTGCACTCGTTTAATATCTCCATTACTGTGAAAAGCTCTGATGTCTCAATTTCCAAGTTCTGTCACTGTGCAAGAGGATTCGCCATGCTGGCTTCGTGCCCTGCAACACTTGCTGTCAACACACAACTCCACCAAATCCAAGGGATTACTTATGATGCATTGCCCATTCAAGCCCATGTTAGACAAGACAGCAGGAATAGAGTTGTTCCTGGACTCCTATGTTCTCAGTTACAAAAAATAAACCAGCCACTGAAAAAGCTAACAGCAATTATCAACAGTTCTTAATTGTGATAAATTTTACTGCTTGATAGAAAATAATTCCACTTTGACACTGTTTACAACAGTCGTGACTCCTATTTCACAACATATCATGGGGATTAGCAGATGAATGTGTCCAAACCGCTTCTCAGGCAAGAGTTCTTTATGGAGTCATTGACTGAGTTACAAACAACCTAAGCACATCACTGCTCTTATATAATATTTTCACACGTCTTTCCTATCTGAACTCCTTTCCCCTAGCATTTTCTACCTTCTATCCATACAGGTAACTAAACATCAACAAAATCTACTGCTGAAGTCTTCTGCTTGCTCCCCTAACCATGCTGCTTTGCTGGTTATGCAATTTTAATGCCTCCTGGTTGACTTTCCGTTTTCTTCAACTGAAACCCAGACTCTGTCCTGAGTCCCACACATACAAAACTTCCCCTAATGTAAACTTCTGCCATAAACTCCCCGGTTACTGCTTCGTGAACTTCACATTTATTTCTTTAATTCCTCTTTGTCACCTCTTAGCTGACATCAGTCTCTCATCATGCTAAGATGCTCCCGCACCTGGAACCACTGCACACTGCCCAGCTGCCAAAGGACTTCACAGTCCTCAAAATTCACTCCCTCTCATTTTCCATCCATTACCCTTACAGCTCAAATGCAGCTGTTGAAAAAATAACCTATTACAAACTACAGAAACTTCTTTAACTCAGAAAAAGTGCACTCTCCTTCCTTCTACAACAACCTTATCTGCATTTTTTCCTGTTTACAATGAATTGAAAAAATATATATATACTATATATATATAGTGAAAAAAAATATATATATATATATCTTATATATATATTTCTTTCTCTCTCTCTCTCTCTCTCTCTCTCTCTATATATATATATATATATATAAACAGGGAAGTACTTGATAATAGTACCTCCTCCCCATCCCAAAGCACTGGAAGGAATTATTTTTTGTCATACACTGAATTAATTTTTAAAAATGCAGTCAGGTTAGGGGTCTCATTCCTCCTAAGATTGCTGTACAACATTATCACTCTTTCCTCCAATAAGGAAGTTGTAAACAGTAATGTTTATTTTTGTTTTCTATAACTTATTTGTCCCATACAAATAAAATTGTATTACTAAACTGTAATTGCTTGTCAACAAAGAAATTAGTTTAATCTTGAGTACTTGCACTGTTTGTGTAAAAATATAACTGGAAGCTCCAATCACCACTTTACTAAAAATACTGCTAATTAAGCAATTTTACCTAAGCCAAACAAACGTATAAAGGAGCAGGGAACCGCAGCACAACCCTACACACTCAGACACTTTGTGTAAATGCAATCGTTCTCCTCTACCGTCTTCAATCTCTGATTACACCTACACATCATAGATAGTTTCCTATTTATTATCAGGATTCCATTTTACCTTTCTTAGCCAGAGGTGAGCAGAGGGCTGTCTCTGCAGACGGCTGTTGGCTCAGCAGCACCGCGTCAGCACCCCCTTGGAACAAGCGCTGAGCAGCGGATGCAGAGCGCAGGCAACACCTGATGCTGCCCGTGGAAAACCAGATCAGAATCCTCCCTTTGCAACTCGCAGACAGCATTTAGGTATGGTGTAAAGTGAAGCATTTTGAAAGGCAGAGCTGTCGCTGCCTTTCCTTGCAGAGGGCTCGGCGCTGCCTCACAGGGACGGCCAACGTGGGCGATAATCCTGCGCTCAGACAGACGCTCAGCTGGCTGCGGCTGCAGCTCCGGCGTGTGTCACGGGCTCAGCACGAGAGGCCAAAGCTGCCGCTGCTTTTCTGCGAACCAGGCATCCTCTGCGTACAGCTCTGCTGCTCAGCTCTTCGATAGAAATAACTCCTTACATTCAGGCCCTTTGGAGAGGGACAAATTCTGACCTCGGACACATCCCGCCAGCTACAAACGCTTCTTATTTTAGCGCTCACGTTTTCAGGCAGCTATCACGGAATCGCGCACACACGGCTCTGAGTTAACCACGAAACGCTGCATTTTTTGGCGTTTCTTCAGAAAGCAGAGGGGAAAAAAAAAAAAAAAACAAGAAAAAAAAAAAAAAAACCACGAACAAGAAACAACGCTGGGTGACAGGGGCTGCGAGAAGGCCGGTCCGTGCTGCTGCCCGCACGCACAGGGGCAGACACCGTCGGTGCGAACTTTCCCCTCCGACCCGCCGCGCCCCGAGCTCCCCTCAGCCCCGCAAAGCTGCGGAAAAAGCGCCCGCCGCGGCCCGGATCCCTCAGCCGCCCCGCGCCCAACGCCCGCCCGGCGCCGCCGCCCGCGCCCACCGCAGCCTTCCCGTCTGGAAGCCGGCTTCCATCGGGCGCGGCGCTCGCCCGCGTCCGTCTCCACAAGCAGGGGAAGGAGGCGGAGAAGCTCCGCCGGCCGCACCAGCGCCGTCGGCCGCTCGATCGCGGCGCAAAGCCGCCGAAGGACGGAGGCTGCGCGGAGACGCGGCGGCGCTCACCTGGTTGGGAGCCGTGACCGCTCCCGGCTGCCGGCGGGGCGGGACGAGAGACGGACCGGAGGGAGAGGACGCGGCACCGCTCAGGCCCCGAGGCACCGGCGGCGGCCCCGCTGCCTGAGCCGCTCGGCGGGGCCGGGCCTGGGCGGGGCCGGACGTGAGCGCACTTCCGCGGGCGCCGCTATGGCGGGTGAGTGAGGGAGGGAGCGGGCCGGGCCTGCGGCACGCCGCTGGGCACCGCCTGCCTGGCTGCGGAGCGGGATGGCGGAGCCGGGGGCGGCGTGGGGCTGGGGGAGGCGACCTGTGGTCAGAGACAGGGCTCGCGTTGTCCGGGTTAAAGTACCGCATCTCGGAATATGCTTTTAATAACGTGACTTTCGCGTAAGCGGTAACAGAACTGATAGGTGAGGAATTCCATTTCGTGAATGTAGTTAACGTGAATTCCGTTTTCACTGAATCACAAAATCGTTTGATTTGGAAGGGACCCCTAAAGGCCATCCAGCGCAACTCCCTGCAGTGAGCAGGGACACCCGCAGCTCCACCAGGTGCTCAGAGCCCCGTCCGCCTGACCGCGGCTGTCTCCAAGGACGGGGCATCCACCACCTCTCTGGGCAACCTGTGCCAGTGCCTCACCGCCCTTATTATAAAAAACCTTTCCCTTGTCTCAGCCACACTGGTTTGTTTCCGTAAGTTTTCAATGAACTTCCCATTTTTTTTCTTACATAGCAAAAAGCCCTGCTGATGGTACTCCAAGAAGACCTGTTTTATCTGTCAGTGCAAGAAAAATTAAAGATAATGCAGCGGACTGGCATAACTTGATGATGAAATGGGAGAGACTGAATGATGATGGATTTACTACTGCCAACAAAATAGTCAACATGAAGATCAGTGAGCAGTAAGTATGCAATATACAAGTAAAGACAACATGAGGATTGCCTTGCTGACAAATTAATCTGTTTTCTTCACTATAAAGATTTTTTGGAGACTGGGGATAGAAAAATCTGAGAGGATGAGTGAACTCTTAGATCAAAATCAGAAGCTGCACTTTTTGGTTCCATAACACATTTTCATTCAAAAAAGATGTAAATGTCTCATAAATGCTAAAATGGTTTCTTAAGGTAATGGCATTTGCAAGAAACAAAAAATGTTTATTACACATATCCAAGCATAATGGCTGTTTAAAATGGAATAGAACTTCTGGAATGTACAAAATTAGAATCAAGTCCTACAAATGTGTGCCTATACAGAGATTTGTGACAGAGATGCAAGAGAGTTTCTTCACACTGATGCCAAAATTACCAGATTTTACTGAAGTCAAGAGTTCAGCAGATTTTAAGAAAAATAAATCTGTGTTTTATATGGACAGAAGTTACAACGGTAATGGTTTGGGAAAAAAAAAACCCAAAACAATAAAATAATTTTGGTAGAACTTTGTCATCATGCTGTGAAGAAAAACCTTCCAGCAATCAGGCTTTTGAGAAGTAGCTTCTGAAGAGTCTGACAGGTGAACAGGGTTTGTTTGACAGAGTTCAAACAGACAGGCTCGGGAATATTTTGCTGTAAAGGTGTCAGATGTTGCTTTCTCTCTCTAGCACCTCCCTCTGCTCTGTCAATGTTTACAGGAAAGTAAAGCAAGAGAAGTGAAAGAGTCAGCAAGACAGGACACGCCTACTCAGTAGCTGCTCTGGTTTGCAGTTAAACCTTAGCACATAAATCTTTGCATAAACTGTCAGTGAAAGTGACTGTGGGGAGGTACCAGGCTGTTGGCTCAGCCAGTTGAAGCCTGGCATATATTTCCCCTTGTCACGGACAAAGTAAAGTGGGAAAAAGTGCTATCTTAACATTTGTGAGTGTTTTGGGGTTTTTTTTTGAGCACAGGCTCTGAAGTAGAGAGACCCCATGTTCTTCTGAAGTTTACCAGCCTTAATTGCTGATATGGTTAGCTGCATTCCTTTCTGGTTTTATGTTGAAATTCTCGTGAACAGGCTCTGAGAGATTCTGTGGGACAAGATCACATGGACTTTAAGTCTGCACAGCTTGAGTAAACCTGTATGCTTGACTTACGTTTCTGCTTTAGGTTTCAAGATAACAAACTGGAGATAACCTGTGATAACAGTACTATAGAATCTGAAAAGCCGTCTCCAAAATACAACGAAGAACTGGACAACTGCTGCACAGAGTTACTAGAGACCTTAAAAAAAATGGTAATATTCATTTTTCAGTCTTAGAAGTAGTATCAAGTACACTATAAGAACATGATGTTCAGTATCTGTTGTAAGCATAAAATCGGGGATTTTTATTTATACTTCATTGCCTTCAAACCTTAATTATATAAAACCAGCATGCTCCATTTGTTTGATTGCTTGATAGATTGGAAAGTTGTTTTTATATCTACCTTCTGCTTAAAATTCTACTCCTCACTTTTAATGTTATTTATAGTGTGATCCTCTGAAAACAAGTCATATAATATTCCATTCTAAAATTGCACTTGATGTCTGTTTCCTTATCTCAAATATCCCCTCTGTTTAGAACAAAGTAAACACCAACATAAAGTACAGAATAGTCCTTTATCTGCCGTGATATCCATTGCAGCTATCTTTGCTCAAACATTATGCAATTACACTTTCAGTCTGCCTACCACTTCTTTCTGTGCAGAGCTCATTCTTTCTATAAGGAGTAGAGAAAGATAATTATTATTCTGCCCACCTTCTTTCTGGATACATTGCCAGGAATTAATGTCACATTTCAGTTTGGCAGGAATTTTTTTGCTCAGTAGTGAGATGTAAAATTTTTAGTAAAAAAAATGACTTTTACAGCCATTTTGGAGGATCATTAAAAAGATAATAGATAGGCTTTTTATACAAACACGCTACCAGACCAGTATTTAGAATTAGCAGGAGCACTTAGATTTTCCTCAGATCACGTTCTGTGGGAAGAAGCAAGAGTAATTTGGGTGTTTTCCTCTTTATGCAAAATCAGAATCAGTAATTATCTGCAGCATCTGAAATTTTAGGGTATCTCATTAATTCTGTATTAAGTTCCAGCTTTGATTCCTAATTGGAGTTTAAAAAATAGTGAATCAGAAATGCTAAGAGTAAGTAAAGTCTTCAGAAAGTGTTTAAAAAGTGCTGAAGACTATAGTGACTTAATGTTCCTGAGACACTCATTAGTTTTATGTATTCATTGTTTTCAGACAAAAATACAGCTGAAAATGGAAAAGCTCTCTTCAACTACCAAAGGAATCTGTGACTTGGAGAAGTTCCACCATGGAGCTGGGAGTTGCACAGCACCCCTGTTTCACACATGGCCAACAGCGTACTTCTGTAAGTAAATTATTGATCATTTTAGATAAATGCACTTTGTCGTTGAAGTCATCCAATAGAGGACTGGAAAATACACCCTTTTGTATCTGTTTATCCTCCCTTGGAGAGAGAAAGTGTGTGAATCAGTCTTCTTTATAATTGACTAATCGATAAACACATGAGTGCATTACTTAGTTTAGGATTACTGCTGATGACTGCTTGTATGAATTGCCAAGCATTGTCTGACATGCAACAATTATAGCTTAGAACTGAGCTTGTCAGCAGCTTCTAGTGCCCAAGCTGCAACAGCCACATCTTTTGTAGAGAGAGACAATTTTGCAGTTTGGTAATGCTAAGCTGTTGGCTACAGACCGACTTGTTACTTGACACCAAAATGAAATCCTTGAATGCAAAGAACAAGATACTCCTCAGTTAATTCTCAGGCAAACAAAGAAAAGTAGCTCTTATCACAGTGTCAGTCAAGATAAGTAAAGAATGTTGTTTCTGTCTTCTGTTACTATCAATCTTTTTTGGATTCACTTGGTTGCAAAAGATACTGCTTCCTAACTGCTATTCTAGTATCGAGAAGCCTAACTGCATGCAAACCAGCTGGCTTCTCTGTGCAGTGAAAGTCATGCCTTGTGAAAGCCCTGCTTCTTATTTTGCTACCACAAGCCAGTGGGAATCTTACATACTAGTTTGTCAACTTGAAAGGTTAAGAATGATGATGACAACCACTACTGTCAAAACACTCGTTGTAACTGAATCATTTAGTGATGGTCTTCACTCTGTGAAGAATAAATCCTCTTGGAAGTAGCAATAGTTCACACTAAGTTAGAAACAAAAATCAGTCTCTCTTCACAATGAATTTATGTGGCTTTATTTTTTAGAAAATCAATGAAGTAAGTGATTATATAAATGTATTTTAAAGCCACTTCATATATTACGAGTATAACTAGTAACAATATTAGTTTTTACATTATGCACTTCAGGTTTGGTCAGTTGTCCTGTTTCCCCATTCTTCTTCACTATTGGTGTTTCTTATTGGCAATTATGCATTGCTGAAGGGCTTGACAGCATGTGAGGACATTCTTTGGATTAGACAAAATCAGCAGTGACTGAAATTTCAAGTTCCTACATTAAGATAGCATTGCAGAATCTTAAATAACGTTTCAGTTATTTACAGGAATGGCTGTAATAGCTGCCCTGAAAACCACTGCTTGTTCCAGAATTAAAAGGGGATTCATATCAAAATCACTAGTGTTTAAAAGTATGTCCAGAAACTGACTAAAATATTTAGCATTTTATGCTTCAGTATACCAACATTATTGACTGTATAAGAAATAAGATGTTTAAATGTGGGGAACAGCTTTTGTTCTTTTAGTGATCAACATAGTACGGGTTGTAATTCAGCATTAAGCAAACTGCTGATCTCTTACCATCAGTGGGCTTGGTTTTTTCAATCCATTTCAGATGAGGTTTCTCTGAAGCTTTCTGAAATGTACAAAAAGGAACTACAACTCAAGCAAACAATCGTACAAGAAATTGCTCATTCTGCTAACCAGGATCTGATGATGGTCTATTTATCATCATGGTTATACCAGCCTTACCTTGACAACAGCAGCAAACTACTGCTTGAAGCCATGCTTCTGGAAACAGGGCACAGACAGTGCTAGAATTTCAAATGTTGCTTGACTTGCTTCTAATGATGCTTACGTGAAACTGAAATGACAAATTGACAAAGCTCACCAAGTAAATTAAGTTTTTGTAAAACTTATTAAAAACATTTTTTGCATTTATTACTTTGTCTCAGCTGATACTCTTTTCTTCACCAGACAATGTGGTTTTGGTTGCTTTAATCCTTTTTAAGCATATGACAGAGGCTATGGGTAGGAGGATGGATAGAGGCTTCATGGTTGTACAGGTTCTCCATAATGAGAGATGAGCACTTCTGTAGTGGTCTCAGGAAGGAGATTCAATGCACATAGATACCTGGTACAATAATTAACTACTTTCCAAGTCTTGATGTTCTAACATATCTACACTGTTTCTCTTACCATAGAAATTCACTGCTGCTTGACGTGTTTGGGGGGTTGTTTTTTGTTTTTTGTTTTGTTTTTTTGTTTTGTTTTTAACACCAGTGTTAAAAAGACCAGTGTTTTTTTTTACTAACAAGCACTGGTAGCTCAAATTCTTGCTTTTCTTTTTTTGTGCTGCTTTCTGACTTCCTTGGTAAAAGAGAGTAGAGAGGATGTTTGGGAAAAAGTTAATGCAAAAGCTAAATGCTGAAAGGAATTCAATACCCTTATTTGCTTTCACTCCTAAAGACATAATAATCCCTTTGCATACCACTGCATCAGACCTGGGTGGCACAGAAAAGCTGTGACACTTACAAGCCTTTAATAACTGTTGGCTGTTCTTGCAAATTAGCACTTTTCAGCAAAGCGTATTACAACTTGGAAACTCTGCAGCTGTTCCATCATTCTTTATTCCAGTTCAACCCCTAATATTTTGTGAACTTAGGCCTTCTTTCTTACTTGAGATTAATAATCCAAATTCTTCCCTCTTACTGACTGCACATATGACCTGCTCCTTACATGAAATGTTGCTTTAGGTCTTCCATTTCACACCATTAAAAAGCAATCCTAAGTGCTGTTGAATCATTGCTGTGCCATGAAAGATGTTTGCCCTTGATTTCTTCCTGAAACAACTATTTGAACTAAAAATAATTTGAAGTGCATGCTGCTATGAAATGGTGATAGCAGCTGTGGTTTGATATAAGAAAAATCTCATTAACAGCGAGCGATTCTGGCACAGATTTGTGATAGGAAAAATAGGGTGATTTGCTTAGCTAGTTCCAAGCTGAAACCCCATAGGCTTGGTAAGGGAAATGCAAAAGTTGCCTGCAGCAACCAAATGGACATATATGAATCAGAAGAGTGTTCTTCTGTGTTCAACAGAGAGGTTGTTTCTGACAGCTTAATAGTGTCCTACTGTTAGCCCAATTTCTAGTGTCTAAAAAGAAATTCTACTGTACCTCAAGAATGCAATCAATTAGGGAGAGCTTTGTTAGCTTTTACTGTTTTTCTTTGCAAGTGTTCCATGCAGCTGAACAGCCACCTTAATTTATTTGAGTAGGTCCAGACCCTTGTCACTATGGAAACACTTTCATACTTGGAAAATATTTTGCAAAGAAACAAGGTGTGTTCATTTACAGAATTGCTCTTTTAAGATGTGCATAGGTACATTGCATTTCCTGCCATGAGAAGATCAATAGCGTATGAAAACAAGTACTCATTTTCTGCAGAGGTGGAAATTGTAGTTTGTTCTTATTTCTGAGAACTAAGCTCTTCAGGAAGGAGACTTAATGTTTGTGAATCCCTTTGCTCATTAGTTGCTGTAGGACAGAAGATGGCTGCAAAATCATCACTGCAGAGATGCTTTGATACAAAGCTCATCGTTACATTTGAGCCCTCAAATGTAGTTATTAGACAAACAGTCTGGAAGAGTAGTAAAAAGGAATTGCTTACTGCAGTCAAAGTCTCAGAAAGGCTGACAGAACTGCGCTTTGCATGGTATCTTCATTACCTCCTTTGTGAGGTAACAACCATTATTACCTCCTGAAAAAGAAAACAATAAATCAAAAACCAAACAAAAATGCATCACAAAATCAAAAAAACCTCCATAAATTTGAGAACCAGACAGGATCTCACAAGCATGTAATGACATCTTCCACAACCCCACAAGAAGTGCAGTGTTCTGCCTAATCATAATTTGACCTTCTATTCAAGCAATAAATAAATAAATGGAATATTATAGGACAGGTAGTTTAATCTCTGAATTGTCTCACTCTCTCATTTGGATTCTTCCACGTTAGTATGTTTTTCCTTAATAGCTATGAATATTTGATTTAAGAACAGTTCTGTACATAATAGGTGCTTTTAGCTGATTTGTCCAATTATCTCAGTAGTTTCCATGAGGCAACAAATATATTTTATCTTATCAGTTTTCATTAATGTCTGCAAGAGTTTGCAAATAAAATTAAGATAATGGTCAGTTAGGACTGATCCTTTTTACCTGATAAGCTTTTTAAAAGAACAGTGGCTTGGACAACAAGCTGCAAGAAAGCATACACAAAAATATCATCCAAGCATTAAATGCCACTTCACTACCACACAGGATAGCAGTAGGTAATAAATAACATGTGAACTTTTAATCTCTGCATAGAGAAACAGGAATTACAGTCAAGGCTAAATTTTTATTACGATTAAACAGTACAGAGCAGTGTAGAATAACTAGGAAGGCCAAAGCTTAGAATTTATGAGATGGAGGAGAAATAGAAAGATATAAATCTAGCAAAAAGATAATACAAATCTAAGAATTAAAAGAGACCACCAAGCCCTAGAAGTTAAAGAATTTGTTATCCTATTAAAGAAGTTCAGTAGTTTTGAACCTTCTCATTTCTGTCCAAGTAACAGCAAGTGTTGAATGCACAGCTGACCATTAGGACAACATTAGCAAGAATACTTAAATACATTGCCAGTAGTTCAGTACAAATCAATTCTTGTTTGAGGCTATTTTTGTCTCTAGCTCAGTGGATGCATAGCCTAATGCTATTTAAATAAAGATCAGTTAGGCTGTCACATTGTTCCTGGAGTGCACAAGCATGGATTGTATTTGAAACCCCCATTTTTCCAGGCGGAGCTGTGCACGCCAAATCTAGATGCTAATGTATTCAACCTAGCTTTAAGAAAGTGCAAAACAGCAGTTTTCTTGTAATCTCAGCAGCACAGAAAATGCATACTTTCAGATAGCTTTTATTTTACCCATACACAGTTTGCCAGTACACAGCACATCACTGCCAAAAAGCAGTACAACTTACTGCATTTTTAGATGGCTAGAGAGAAAAGGAATTGCGTAACAAATGGGAATAGTGCAACAGCTTTAGGATTGACAGATTTCCACTTTCTACCCACCCCCCCAACATATAAAGCAAGGAGAACAATGTTAATTTTAGAATTTTTGGTTGCAATTGTTTTAGATTTTTATAAACATAAGTTATAAAAAGTATAGGGCATAGAAACAGTTTACAAATAAGTTAAATTTCAGTTATCTCACTATTCACATTAGAAAAATATACATTTTATATAGTTGGTCTTTCCCAGAAGAAAGACTGTGTAGTATTCTAATTTATGGCTCCAATTCACTTTGTGAGAGCAGAATATCTTCGCTTTGGCCATCTGCTTCCATTGCCAGTAGTGCTTCCACAGTTTCCAAAGGTATCCCATCAGGTGTGCGAATGTGCATTGTAGTACCATCAGAATCAGTTACAATAACAATACCTTCTGCCTGAGACAAAACAGCAGCATTGGGATGAGACAAAATAAGCCCATCAGAAGTCTGAATAAAAATCTGTTCATGTCCCTGAGTCAAAAAGTCATGGCTCTCATCAGTAATCTCAAAAGCTACAGTTTGATCTACAGTAACTGCATTCTCCAGCTCATGTTGTTCCTCTGTCCCACAAGAAAATTCACTCATGTTGTTATAAGCGCAGTCATGGTTCACACCAGCAGACAGGGTGTCTTCCTGGACAGGATTCTGGTGCAACTCAGCCTGAGCACCGTGTGGATAATTTATTGGCACATGTGTTGAAAAAGCTTTTTCCATTTCCTGCGTCTCAGTCATACCAGCATCATGAAGTTGTTCAGATTGTCCTTTCGTAGCAAAATTCTGGTTTTCTTCTTGCGGTGTCTGACATTTTTGATTGAGACCATTTTCCCCACTCACTGCCAAGTTAGTGCTCTGAATGCCCACTGCATGCTCTGAGACAGAGTTGCAGGGCTCAGCAGCTGACAGTCCACCTGCTGTGTTTTGACTCACCAAATGTGCTTCAGCTAATTCTGGTGAACCTCCCGCTTCTACGGGCAATACAATTTCAGTATGTAGCAAAGATGTGTCAGCTGAAATACCTGGTCCCTGTCCATCTACAGGTTGGGAATACTCTATCCTCGTTTCCACAGTCTGAGAGAAGGTACCTGAATTTTCAGCATTGATTCTAACTTCTGAATCAACAAGTAAATTATGTTCCTCCTCTGCAGGTAATATGCTTCCAGTTGGGCAGCAAGTGACATGTCTGTCTTCTGAAAGCAGGATTTCTCCATTTAATGGATTAAGACCTGAAAAGTTGGAAGAAATAGTTTTGTTGGGTAGTCTAATACTGCACGTCCAAAACATCATTTTTTCAGTTATAATTTTGGAGGAAATTCTAGACTGCTTTCCTCTCTCAAATTAGCAAGCCTGAAGCATATTCTGTAGAGTTTCAGAGCACTTTGGGGTGAGGGGGCCAGCATAACACTCCAGGTATTTTTTTGATAGTGAAATATTATTGTGTATTTCAATACAAAAGAACCTTAAATAGAAGTAGATTTTTCTTCCTGTTAATCTTGAAAACAACCTGGGCTGAAAGTCAGATTTATCTTTTTTCCCCAATCTGGCATACAGCCAGTAACATTAAGTGATAAAGAACATGGCACAAGGTTGCCAGTTGTTCATCCTCATTAGCATTAATAAACTGACAGAAGCTTTTAAACTTGATAAAAATTCTGTTGACGAGTCAAGCTTTTGAAGATTCAGAGAAGTCAAATTACTTTGTGGCTAATGAGCTGTGTTAGCAGATTCAGAACCACATTCAGCCTGAGACAGAAAGGGCAAAACAACAGGAATTTAGTTTGTTTTGCCACTTATATGACTTGGACTAAGGGCTCTCAAACACAGCAGGAAGCTGAACAATAACCGCTAAGTAGCAGAAGATTGAGCTGTCAGTTTTTATAACTGAAGATCAAAAGGAACAAAGGTAATTTTTGTTACGGAAGATATCATGGCACAAAAAAGGAAACCTAACAACTCTAAAAGGACTATTTTAACTTTTTGTACTGTAAACTAACAGAAGCCTACCAGCCTGTGCAAGTGAAACAGAATTCTTTTAAAACAAAAACAACCACCTAACCCACCACCTCATAGCTCAGAAGAAAACTGTATGATAAGAAGAAATAAGCACTTTCATGCAAAGAGCCTTTCAGAGAAACAAAGTTAAACTGAGGGGGTGAAGTGGTATGGGGAAGTGGGTAACAACACAAAAACAAACAAGAAAGCAACCACTAACAAAGACATGCGAAGAGCAAAAGAAAAGCAGCTCATAGCAACATCAAAAAGATAGGTACAAAGCAAAGAGATGGAAGCAGTACACATTTTACTAGAGATGGGTAAGGGCTGGAATCCTTCACGACACTGATCACAATGCCTCTGAATAGTGAAACACTTTCAGATTAAAGACCAGTGGAATCTGGGGATATTACAGGTGGAAACAGTCTCACTTTCCTCTCTATCCCACTGTTTGCCTGCCAACCTCAGGAGCCAGAGGAGGAAAGACAAAGAAGGGAGAAAAATAAGCACATGTGCCAAAGACCATCACACAAAATACTGTCTTAGTGCCAGTCGCTAGCTCCTGCACCTCCCATGGGACACAGGATAACCTCCAGTTCTTCTCCTCCCCCAGGATCCACAAAGCTCAGATGATTCCACCCCTGCAGTCTGATAAGGCAGCAGGAAGGACATACACATTGCTTCCTCTTCTACTGCTCTCCCACTGCTAACACAAAGGTTGTGCACCATCACCACTCTAAGGGGCAGTGCAGACAGGAAGCGGGCAGGAAGCACACGGTAGAAGAAAGTACTATTCTCCCAGTACTGCAGTAACACCCATGAGCGCATTACTGTGCATTTAGAATTGAGCTACTGCTATGCTGTGCATCATTCTTAACTTCCCCTCTTGACAGTGAGGACTTTCCAGTAAAAAAGCTGCTTTTGAAGAACCTGGGAAGCAAGCTGAGAAATGAAACCTTAGGACAAAAACCACAGTAGCTTGAAGAACAAAGATTCATTTAGTTCCTCGGTGAACACAACAGAATTGGAAAATATGAAGAGGTTACCATCTTTTTCAAAGAGTGTACATAAATTTCCACTCTTTTCTTTCACTTCATCTTGACTGGAATAAGCATTATTCACATTCTCCATTATGTCTTCTAACTTGGTCCTTTTGGCTGATGGCAACAGTTCCTCCCCTGAGCTCTGTCAATACAAGAGATAATTAACTGGCTGCCACCATAACAGCTAACAATACTGGAAAAGAAAACAAGCTAAGTAGGCACTTCACAGCAGTACTATCCTTAAAAACAAGATTTTGCACTGAAGTAAGAACTTCCTGAGCAGAAAGAATTTAAACACATTTCTCACATTTTGCCAAACTACCACTGATAGATTTTGATATTTGGTAGAAACAAACCAGCCTAGCATTAATATCAAAGCTTCTCTCTATGCTTTGTGGTTAGCTGTATTGCGTGACACCTGCCATAAACTCTCCGACTTCAGTAAACGGCTGTGAACAACTTGTCCAGCATTGCTGGCTTAATGAAGAACAGATCAGCTCAAATCTAACCACAGGCAGAAAATGGAAGACTACTAATCTTATTTGTCCGCCACCAGAAACAACTTCAGATTAAATAGAACAGTTGAGGGAAAGGACCATAGAGATATGACTTTCAAGAAAATGAAATAGAGCACACCCTGCTCCAGCTTTCAAATCTGGTAAACTGACTTGTTAGAAAGAAAGCAACTATTTTTACACACCTCTGCCAACCAATTATTAGTGCAAAACTTCCCCAATGCTCAAGCCTGCTATAGGTAAGCTCTTATTGATAAGAGAAGTTATAGAATCTGAGGATCCTTGTTACCATAGGGCCCATGTACTGCCACTTCAACAGGATTCTTCTCTGTATCATAATATATGTAAACCTTTGAGATTCTGTCCCCAGTATTACAGAGCATTAACGCAAAGTACATCTTTAATCTGCTAGTTCACAGCTCTGCTGTGACACCACAGTAGAATTCACTTGAGTATTTACAAACTCTCACTTTAATAGAGGTCAGATAATACTAGTATGATTTCTAAAAACTTATCTATTTTAACAAGCTTTAATTTGTTCTGCTTCCATTTTTAATTTTCACAAAAGCATTCCATACCTCAGCTAATCGTTTTTGTCCCAGTGTCTCCACAGGCACTTGCTCACTAACCATTTTAATTATACATTGTGAACAAGAGTCTACACCTTGCATCTTTTGTTCACCAGAGGTTATTTCTGTAATTCCTAGTGATTCGGCAACCTGTAAAAACAATTACAGGAAAAAATAAGCGAAAGTTAGTCTCTCCAATCTCAATAAATTTCTTCAATCTGAACTAGAAGTACAGAATTTCAGTCTGACAGCTCAATTAAGTATTTAGCCTGCTATGTTTTCTACTAACTTCCAGATTAATAGAATATTTGAAAATGAACATTAACAGGTAAACTCAAAGAATTACAAGTACATTTGTTATATATAGAATCCAGGAATGCTTACTAAGAGCAGAGCTTAATAGAGAACACTGTATAGGCTCTTCATTACTTAAAAAAAAAACAAAACATTTAAGTCCTCCTATTTAAAAGGATCTGTTAGAAGCTTATATGTATTTTCCAAATTCTCTTTTCATCTTTATGTAGGTATGCTATGATACGACCTCTCTGGGCTGTTATCTTTTAAATAGCATATTCTAAATTAAAAAGGCATGAAGAAAAGCAAGAAACAGGTTCCATTTTGGGACTGACAGCATCAACAGCATCCTTTTACTTGGTGCACCTTCACTACTCCAAACAGAAACATCAGTGGTAATCAGCTACAAAACAGCCAGATGAGCACACAGTAAATCTAGGAAGTTTTTCAGTACATACAGTGAACATGGTGACTTATTAAAAAAAGAAGAAATACTAACTGCTACTAACAGCCCACACAGGACTTCATTTCTTAACCGGGATTATTATAAAAGCCAGCATTCTCTCTCTCTCTCTTCTACTCTGAGTTTTCCAGTGTGTTCTCTCATTTGTGGTTGCAAGTTCAGTGCAGACGTACCCTAACAAGCACATCATTAGAAATTTTATTGGAGGCAATATGGAAATAGAGCTTTTGCTACTGGAAACCGAGAAGGGAAAACAAAAATATGTTAAGTACAAAGATCTGTTTTATTCCAATCTGGAGGAATATAGACTAAATAAAGGATAAACAGATCCATATAAACACAAAAAAGTCTTTCTAGACACAACTGCATATACAATGAATCTGCAGTTATTGAAATAGCAGTTTGTAATTTCATTAATTTATTCTCTACCTTTTCTATTTGCTAGTATGACTGAACTGCACAGAAGCATTCAGTTTGTCCTCATTTTGCAATGAAACCACGGATCCTTTTAAATCAAGGTCACTCATTTTAAATACGGCCCTTTCCCTCCTAACTAAATATCACAATATACTTCCAATGTTGAACACACCCTGCAGTAATGTGCAGCTTCATAGTATTCTAAATACACACAGGTATCAGAAATCAGCACTGCTAGAACTGATGTTATCTTTTTTTTTTAAATATATATATTTCTAGTTATATATGTATTGCCACATACTAGAACTGTAGTTTTATTATGGATTTCTTTTTCTCTTTGCTTGGTTATTGTACTTTTTAAACACTACCACTTTTGCTCATCAGGAAACATGTTTTGTTCAAATAACTTTACCAGGATAAAAAAAAAATTATCAGAGAAAATATTTTTTAAAAAATGTAAAAATAGACAAAAAAAATCCCAGTTCCAAGCAGAGCATTTTGTTACCTTAGCATCTTTTATTTCAATAGGCTGCTGGCAGCTCAGAAAATCAGAATTACTGAGGTAATCATAAGCCATTTTCTTTACCATATTATGCAACTCTTCAAATTCTCTATACACATCAGGGAAGCAAGCTTTGGCTGGACAACCTTTTTCAACCTGGAAGAGAAGAAATGTGTTGCTTCCTTCTATATATTTCAAACATGAAAGAAAAATCTTTTGTTTTGTTCAATGTTTAAAAATACTATCAGTCAAATCAAGACTATGGAATTTTCAGAAACACCACTGAACCAAGCAGCAGAGTTAGACTTTCAATAAGGCCCATCAGCATTTTGCCCATGTAAAACTGAAGTGATATCCAGAACAGCTATATTCTGCACAATTCTAACTCAGAAAAATCGGATACATTACTCATGAAAACTTTTTGCGCATATTTAGTGAAAGCCTCCCTAAAATAATTCATATATTTACATTAAAAAGATAAAATAATAATCTCACCTTCATCAACAGGAATTCATACACTGTAACAAGCTCTGTAAGACGTGGGAGAACCAGCTCCATCAAGTCTTCATTATCACATTGTTGTATTAGCTGTCAAAAGCCATAATGAGTTTATTAGAGAAAAGTAACCTACAAAGTTAATGCAGCCCACATTCAGAAATAAAATAGTGCTGCTTTTCTGTAGGATACACGAAAGTACCTTACACTGCAGCGATTTCTTTATTTCAAATAGACAACACACAGGCTCTCAATCCTATAAGGCAGTTGCCATTTAAAAATGCAAGCGAGGAGTAGGTTTGCCTTTTGGAAAAAGACTGGAAGGATATACATACTGTATGTTTAAGCAGCTTAGAGAATAGAGGCAAATGTAACACAAAAGAGATAAATGAGAAATACCTCAAAACAGTTACTACCCATGTTTACAGACAACACTCAGTCCCATAAATGTTGCTAACTCAGAAAAGGAACACAGGTGATGCACAATAGTAGCTAGCAACTTCTTCAGAAGAAATTCTTCAGAAGAAAAGCAAGAGTACATTTACATGTCAAAAAGACTCTTTCCACAGAGTTCCCATTTTCCGTTTTTTTCCCTTAAAAGCCATCATTAATATTTTCTTCTCAGAAAATGCCTTAGGCTTTCATCAGTAAACAGGAATGTCAACTGCCAATCCTTCTGAAAATAAATCTCTGCACTGATTCGAAGACTAAAACCAAAACGATTCTGAAAAAAGATACTTATGAAGTAATTGCAGAAGAGAACCATACCTCTTTTAACCTAGCTCTTCTTCTGAACACATTGCGCTCTGTTGACACACTACTAAGGGACTTTGAAGGGGACTGACCAGGTCTGCTAAGCCTTCCAGAACACCTGGATCTTCCACCCATCCTTGGTCGACCGCGTCTCTTTGGTCGTCTGGGTCTTCCAGGTCCTTTTGCTGTTATGGGCCCCCGCTGTCCTGAACTGCTTTCGTTCTGTTGTTCTGCCAACAGGTTTCTGCTTTCTGCAGATTTACAAGTCTTAATTAAAAGAAAAACAAAAGTCTTTTTTTATCATTTTAAACAGTGCTTTAAGTACAGCATCATTTTATAATGAAATTCTTAGTCTGGGCAAAAAATATATAGGATATTAAACAAATGCAAGGCTGAATACAAGTATAATTCCAAAGGTCTCATTTGTTTTCCTCTATCTATCCATGTACCAGCTTTGGTTAACCTGATATTCTTTCTAGAAGACCTTTGCCTGACCAAGAACATTGTTTAAAGCAATGAGTTACAGTATAAACTTTGAGAATTGGTGTTTTCCAGCTAAAAATTGCAGGTACTACAGCAATCTAGCAGTCAGTAATAGTGCTGATTGTCTGAAAGAGAATTTCCATCATCTTGCATGAAATGAATGCTGCACAGGAAAAAAAAACATAATAATGCAGACAGCTGAGTTCAGTATTCTGTGTTTCTCTCTTATTCCATAACAACTGCATCAGCTCTTGCTACAGACTGTAAGTTAGGAGGTAACTTCAATTGGAAGAGAAGCTTTGAGTTAGCCAGCTTAAAACATAACAAAAAAATGTCACTGAAGTAGCTTCCATCTCAGAGAGTCAAGATGAAAGTACTCAGTTTGCAGAGGTAAGCTAAGTCTCACTTTCAAGACCTGCTCTAGGAAGAGCTGCAGTCCACTCTGATTCCCAATAAGTTTCACCATAGAAAATCTTCTATTTCAGTAAGAGAAACTGATAAAGCAGTTGATGCCTTGCTGTCTGTCATGCAAAAGGCACAATCAGTGTTAGCATTCTTCTCTGAGTAGACAAGAAAAGGCTATTAATGCAGACCTGCAGACCATATGTTAGAAATCCAGTAACAAACATTCAGGGAATGTTTAATATGCCTCTGCAGGAACACTATTCCTGATGCAATTTCAAAAAAACCTGAGTTGTCATCTCTTACGAGCATTTGAATGAGCAGTGTGTCTAAGTTTGCATATTAGTAAATATTACCGAGCAGTACAGGCTTGTATGTACAAGTGAATTCACATGTATTTAAATTTCTACCTTCAGTCTTAAAAAAAACACTGTTGTCAGTAGGAACTCAGATGAATGAGTGCAGTATACAGCTATTAAACTGCCCTTCTGATTTCTACAAAACTGACAGCTGTAACACACTTTACCTGTTCAACCTGTGAGCCAGCAGTTTCTTCCAAATTGGTAGGTAATGCATTTTCATTATTTAAAGTGACAGCAAGGGAATTCAAATGCCCTGGACTCATAATTTCCTCTCCTATTCCGCAGAGGTTGTCCACAGATATACTTCCATTAGGTTTATTTAAGGACGTTTTTTGAGGTACAGACTCCAGCTGTCCATGACCAGGGTTAAGTTTATAATGTCTTGCTAATCCTCCTTTTCCTATATAGGACTTTTCACAAGTCTGACACTTAAACATTTTGGGTTTCAGATTATAATTTGAAGAACTGAACAACGCATCCTTTCCCTTCACCTTTCCTTCTTCATCATCTTCTATAATCAGCTCAGAGTAGTCGTCAGAATCAGACTGATGACTATCAGCCAAATCCTCCATTTTAATGAATTTATAATCTTTAGCCTTGTACTTTGGAGGGCGGGAAATCCGTCCAGAACGAGTTTTCACTTTCAAAGACTTTTTTAGCTTGTCATCTTTTTGTTTTTTTTCAAGGCATGGCATCAGAGGGTTTGTTGAGCTGGCTGCAATATTTGAAGACCTTGCAGGTGATACTGTGGCACGTGCAGTTTTCTGTCCGTTTAGCACCTTACTTGTAGGAATCTTGTTCACAGGCACTGATCCATGAGACGGTAAAGGTTTCTGCATAAGCAACTGAATTGGAGACTCAGAAGAACTATGCAGGAAAAGCTGCTGCTGCTGCTCAGGTCCTGTAACAGGCTGTATCTTAATTATCTGAGGATTAATAATGCCAAGTCCTGGCATGCTAGAATTTCTACCAACAGACTGACTCAGCATTACAGTTTTGGACTGGACTGGTGCCAAGGATGGCACTGGCCTTTCTGTTTCCTTCATCTGTCCTGGCTGAACTTGAACACAAATGGCTTCCAGCTGCTTTTGTGGAAAAAGAGGAAAAGCTGAGATTACACAAATACTGCATTTGTTAGACAAACATAGTATTTACCAATATGACACATATATACCTTTAAAGGAAGGCATAAAGAAATGAGCACACATCATTCAATTTCCATTTCAATGCATCAAAGCACTGATTTAATGTCAGAGCACAGATTCTCTTCCTTCAAGCTATGGCTTCCCTGCACGTTCAGCAACATAACTGCTGTCAACTAAAGCATGTAAAGTCTTCTCCCGGGTCACTCTGCAGCACTGTTTCCTGCAAGCAGGCCGGTTCTGGGACAGCAGCACTGCCATCACCCAGGCACATCTGTAACCTTTATTGAAACAAGTGCAGGAGAACTACAGCCTGTAACATGATGCAGGCCAAATGCCAGACCCAGAATACAGCAGTAAGTGCTCTGTTCAAGAAAACTTGATGATGACTGGTACCACACGCTCCATGCTTCCTCTTATCCCTTCCTTCCATTCTCCCCACTTCCAAGTTCCTGGCTTAGCTCTGCCCAATCTCCCAGTGGCTCCCCTCCCCCGGGGGAGCAGGCAACCACCTGCCTTACCCTAGGGTCAAAAATCGTTAAAACTGGAGATGCCTTAAGACCACCAGTCCAACCCCAGCCCATCCCCGCTGACCACGTTCCTCAGCGCCTCCTCTCCACGGTTCCTGGACACCTCCACGGACGGTGACTCCCTCACCTCCCTACGCAGCCCGTGCCGCCGCATCGCCACGCTTTCTAAGACATCCTTCCCGCCCCGCAGCGAGGCGGTTCCTCGGAGCCCTACCTGCCGCGGGAGGAGGCGGGCGGGCGCCAGCGCCGCGCCGCGCTGCAGGGCCACGCGTTGGGCCACGCTCCGCAGCCGCAGGGCCGCGTTCTGCACGACGGCTGCCGGCGGCGCGGGGGGCTCGGGGCCGCCGTCCCGGAGCGGCGGCGACGCTTCCCGCAGCTCCCGGCTCCTGCTCACCCTCTCGATCACCCTCCGCAGCTCCGCGGGGGCCAGAGGCGTGGCGGCGCGGCGGGACGGCGAGGGCGGCCGCTCCTCCGCGCTCGGCCCCGCGCCCTCCGCCTGCACGTAGAGGACGGTGCCGCCTTCCAGAGCGGCCGAGCTCCCAGCCAGCTCCTCCGGAACCGCCCGCAGCTCCACCTGGGCCGGGAGGCCGCCGCTTTCCTCCGCCGCCGCCGCCGCGCCGAGGGTCGCCTCCCCGCATGCGGCTCCCGGGGGCTCGCCCTCAGCCGGGGGGGGAGGGCGCGGCGGCGCCTCGGTGCCCCCCTCCTCAGGAGCCGCCATCTTGGCAGGCGTCAGCGGGCGGCAGCCGCATCGACCCCCCCGGGCGGCTCTCGGAGGCGCGGGGCGCAGTCAGGGCATCGGCGGCGCGCGGGCCAATGGCGCCCCCGGGGCGGGGCCGCACAGTACCGACGGTGGCCTCGAGGGGGCAAAAAGCTGCGGAGGCGCTTCCAGAGCCTGACCGACGCGCGAAGACAAATGACGACTGCGTGACGTGGAGGGGGAGAAGAGCGCACGCTGCGTTGGACCGAAATACTAACTGCCGAGGGGTGAGAGGGGGGGCAGAAACGTAACAAAAACTGCGTCACCAACTGGCCCGTACGGGGATCGAACCCGCGACCTTGGCGTTATTAGCACCACGCTCTAACCAACTGAGCTAACCGGCCGGGTGGTGTACATAGCTTCTACCGCAACCCCCAAAGGGATGTAGCTGCAGCCTCCTACGCGTACTCCAAGCCTCACAGTGGTTGTATTACAGATGAAGAGTTCTTTCGAACTCGAAAGCACGAGAGAGAGATGTGCAGAGACCCGGCCACCAGAGATGCCACAGATTCACCTCCCTAGGAAACGTGGGAAACACGCGAGCGCTCAGTGCATTTTTTGCACTGTTTTGCAAGTCTATACTGCCCGCAGCTCCTTTCAGCAGCAATCGCTTCGTATTTCAGGAGCATCCCTTCAGGGTTTTCCAGAACACCTGCGCTGGGGGATGTGACCAAAGAATGGAGCGCGGGCGCTGCGCTTGGTACGACCCGGCGTGAGCCGGATGCCCTCAGCGATGCCATTCCCACCCACTGCGAGCCAGCGGCGCGCACACTCTGAAACGTGCTGCAGTGGCAGGCGGGAGCCGCTAGGGATCAGGCGGCCATCGAAGATAGGCGCCGGGATGCAAAGGTGCGGCAGCACGCGGCACAAACCAGAGCTACAGGTGCGGCGTTCGGCGTCAGGGAACGCCTCTCAGCTAGAAGCGAGGGCTGCGCAGGCCGCTCACAGACTCCCTCCATTCTGGGATTACGCCTGCGGAGGGCGTGGAGAAAATCACCCACAGCGGGACAGAACAGGGACACAGAACAGCGGCACAGAATAACCCCGCGCCCACCCGCCGCCCCGCCTCCTCAGCCCTGCGGCGCACGCGCAGTAGGCGGGGCAGCGCCGGCCGCCGCTCGCACTGCGCCTGCGCGAGGCCGAAGCCCGGGGCGGGCAGACGGAGCCTGCGCGGTTGCCAAGGCGACGGGAATACAACATGGCGCGCTGAGGAGCGGCTCGGCGGGGCTCGGGGACCCGCAGGCGAGCGCAGGATGAACAGTAAGGGGCCGCGGGGGAGGGCAGCGGGAGCCGCTCGGCCTGAGGGCGGGAGGCTCCTCGCGAGTCGCGGCGTGGGCTCGGGCGTCTCTGAGGCGGCACCGCCGGCAACCTCGGCTGAGGGGCCGCGGCGGCGCTTTGAGGCCCCGGAGGCCGCAGCCCCGAGGTTTCCTCGCCTTGCTGCACGTTTTCCTGCACGCCCAGCCCGCTAACGAACGTTTCCTGCTCCTGCAGAGCAGCAGCCTGCCTGCCCCCCAGTCTCTGCAATTGCCTTTGCAGAAATCACGAAATTCCCTCTTTCTCACCACGATCTGCAAGCCGTGCCTTCCATTGCTTGGCGTCAGTCTTCCTCCGTGCCATGTCACACCCCACGCTCTCAGCAGGTCACTCAGTGCCTTAGTTAGGTGAAGGCAAGCTTTCCATTGCTGTCTTCACTTCTCCCTTCCCACGTGCCTTAATGCTATATCCAAACACTGTGGCTTTTTCTTCCTCAGCCTCACAACACAATACCTGCCTTAGGTGTTATACTACCCCATTTTGGCTGTTGCAGTGCTGTCTTTTCTGTCACTTCACAATGGATTCTTTAGTTCCAAATTGTGATTTTCTGTGCTCTCTAGATACAGAGACATGGACCCAGACTTTGCATTCTATTACATGCACATAACTTTCATTATTCTTTCTTTCTTTCTTCTGTAGCTTTTTGTTCACCAGACTGCCTTTCTAGTGAAGGATTATTTCTCTGCCATTCTGTTGGCTACAACTCTGATGTTAGACTAGTTCAAGTTGCCATAACTTAGTCCTATAAATAACCAGTACATCCTAGTCTTTATTTTGCTGACTTGCATGGAATTTTATTCCATTTTCCTAATCTTTGTCTGCCTTCTCTGACCATTTGAAACCTTAGCCTCTACACATGCTGAAATAGCCAGGAAGGAAAGGTTAGTTAATGTCTGCATTGCTATAGATGCCATTAAAAAAAAAAAAAAAAAGCAACTGGGGATTAGATCTTCTGCATTCCTTGATCTTACATGAGCAAGAATAACACTGTTTACTTAATTTAATCCTCAAAGTAGTCAGTCTTAAAACACTCAGGAAGTTTTAAAATCTTGTCTCTCTTCACCACAAATTCAGCTAAACTCACTGGTAGTTTTGTTTTGCAGCTGTATTAAACTTCATAGTTTAACACTGAAATGTTTCAACCTGGTTATTTGGTTTCAGTGTTTGCTTGAAGTTACCATAATTTACTGATTAATAGTGTCTGTCCTTGGAGGCAGTGAAACTGCTAAGTTCTTTGTGATACCATGCAAAGCATCATTAGGAACCATTAATAATCACATACAAGAAAAAGTTGGCTCACCCAGCTGGTGATGGAGGCCTCTGACCACTTCTTAACAGACAGCCCTCACCCAGAAGATATTCTCCCTTCCAAGGAAAGCCCTTAAATAAGCCCACGGAGGGGTGGACTCTGGGTCCACCTCTTTCAGTCATGTGGAAAGCACAGATGAATCTCTTGCACCTGTGCTTCCTGGGCCAGCCACCCCCTTCACCAGGTGCCCAATCATCATTTTGGGCTGTGACATAACAATTCCCTACAGACTAGTTGCCATCTAGTCACTTTTGAAGAATCAGTTATGTGGAAGTGAATGTTTAAGGATCTTCATAAATCTTGGCTTGAGGACTTCAAAACTGGTATTAAATTGCTGGTATACTGCAAGTCTAATTTGTTTTCCTTCTCAATCTATAACATCATGCTATTATTCTTATCATGTCTGAGTTTCTCTCAGTTTCTCATTAAACAATAACTTGTTGTGTGATCACTCTCCCATTTCCTCCCTAGGAGAAAGGCTCTCCCATCTTCAGTGACTTGCCTTGTTGAGAGTTTACATGCTAGTTTTATGCATCAACAAAAAAACAACATTTTGACTAATGCAATTTTCATTTCTGATTCTGCGCTTCGGTCAGTTGATTTCAGTTACTGTGGTCTGTGCTGTCATTCTTGTCACTGGTGGAGAGAATGGCTCTCCAGTGTTTTCCTCAGGTGTTTGTTACTTGCACGTGAGCTTTTTTTGCATGCCTAGCAGCATTTTATTGTGAAAATAAGTACACCTGTGGTGGTTTCAACCTAATGGGCTTTCTCACTCCTGTCCTCAAAGAGGGAGAGAAAAGGTGATGGAAATGTGCTCAAGGGTCAAGATAAGGACTGAGGATTAATCACATATTGCTATCATGCCCAAAACAGTCTCAACATAGGGAAATGAATGCAGTTTGTTGCTCACTGCTAACAGACCAGAGCGGTGAGAACCAGAAGCAAAGTAAAACTGTCTTCCTCCCGTCCACCCTCTTCTACCTCCTTCCCTGGAGCAGCACAGGGGAATGTAGGCAGTCCACAGTGCTCCATCACTGCTCCACCATAAGTCTGCCCTGGGCTGCAGGGCGCTGCTGCACCATGCCTGGAGCACCTCCTGCCCTCCTCCTGCACTGACCTTGGTGGCAGCAGGGCTGCTTCTCTCCCTCCTCTCTCCCAGCTGCAGTTCCACAGAAGTTTTTTCTTCTCTTAAATCTGCTCTCCCAGAGGTGCACCCAGCATCGCTCATGGCTCAGTTGGTCAACAAATAACTTTTATGGCTACTTGGGTATATTTTTGCCACGGAAATTGGCTCTGTTGTATGAGCATGTAGCACAGCTATTGTGTTTGTGTTTTAGTGGAGATCAGTTGCTAGCAAAAACTCTACTGATAAGCCTTCTTTAGAAATGTTGGATTTAACTGCTTTGAATTTATGACTCCTGTTTTATATTTAACTGTTTAGATGGGAAATTAAAACTCAAGGAGGCACATGCAAAACGTGCTTCTTGCTTGTGTTCCTCAGAGCTCACAAAGATTAGGAATCACCCTGCTTGAAGCACTGCCTGCCCAGTTTCTGCTAACAGCCACACATACTAAACCCCATGGTCTCAGCCACACCTTGGAGTCTCTGCTACTGTCTCTTTACCCATAATGGTTTTCAAATTCTATTTCTGCTTCTAATAATTGTTCCATATGTAATTGTGTAGAAAGCATTAGACTGTGTGATTGGTTTTAAATTGCTCTGTTTTCTCTCTTTTTCTAACTAGAAGGCCTAATTTGTGATTTTAAGGGAAAAAAAAGGGGGGGGAAACAATGTAGGAAATGAAAAGACTGTTTGAATTTATGGAGAGGACTAGGTTTTAAAGAAAATCTGGGTAAAAAATATCTATATTTTCTACACTGGAGCAGCATGAAGTGTGATAATCAGAAAACCTCAGCAGCAGATGATAAAAACAAGAAAAGCAAATGACAGTTCTCCCAGAAGCTTCTTTGTTGGAGAAAAGGGGGATTTGCATGGGGACAGTTTCTGCTAATTAAAATGTAAGCACTCGCATTACAAGGTAAAAAGACTTAACAAGTGTGAAGCTTGGGGAGGAGAAAAGAGGTGAAGGCAACACAAACTGATTGCTAGTTTGAAAACATCATTCGAATGTCTCTGCCTAAGTGATTTTTCTCTCTGCAAAATTCCTTGGCAGGCTTTCTCCACTGTGAGGCTGTATTTATACTTGTAAATTAAACATATCTGGAAATCTTCTTGGCCACAAAGAGCAGCTGGCATGAAATGACCCACATCTACGCTAGTAAATTCCCTTCTCTCCAATCCAAGCAGTAGGACAGAATCTGATCGAGGAGTGACCTTAGAAGGAGTCCTCCCATCTGGTTAGGAAGGCTTCTGGGAGAGCAGTGTCACAGAGCACATCCACGGCTCAGTGCTGTCATGGCAGCTTATGCAGACAGCTGCACTTCCTTGGAGTTACTGCTCTTCTGCTGTTATTTCGACTCCCTAGAGGGGCTGAATAAGGTAGAGGAGGTATCCTGCTCTGCCTCCCTGGGTTTGGATCTTTCTCAAATAATAAGGCTAGCTCAAAAGCAAGAGCAGCGTAGAGCTTAGCAGAGTTGGGTTTTGTGCAGGTAAAATAAATGGAAGGATAGAATCTGTGGGTGCTATAAATAAATGGAAACAGGAGGACAAGGTGGGTGAAGAGAACCAGTCAGTAGGATTGAGAATAGTTGATTAGAATGCTAGAGGAGAATAAAGGAGGAAAGAAACGTCAGTTTTGAAGGAGATCAGAAGAAGACTAAGAATATTTAAGAAAAGCCTTATTCTTGGCCTACCTGGATACTCTTGTCGATAGGGGAATAAAGCTTTAAAATCAGTAATTACTTTTCCTTAAAAAAGAAAAAAGTGAAACAATGCCAAAGTACCCTTTCAAGAAAATGATACATTTCTGAAAGACACAAAGCATAAATGCATTCCTCAGTTGCTAATGCACTGCACAGAAAGAAAGGGTAAGAAGTGCCATGTGGAGAGCATTGTGTCTCTGAGCAAGGAGGCAGTGGTTACTCCTGAAGCTTGGGTCAGTGTATTTCAGGAACATAAGTTCATGTAATATGAGCAGCAAAATGTTGTTTTCTGTTATTCTTTATATTTCCTCTCAAACACTGGATGTGTTAACAGAAAAAAAACCACAAACTTTTATAAAAAAAAGATTCCAGTAGTCAGAATTTAGCAAATTTTTATGGATGGCTATGCAATCGTTATAACAATTTCCACTGTAAACTGAAACAATGTGTTTTTGTTTTTAGAATATAAAGCAGTTTGTAAGATAGGAGAGGGAACGTTTTCTGATGTTCTGAAGATATTGAGTCTTAGAGATGGAAAGTACTATGCATGTAAATGCATGAAACAACATTTTAAAAGGTATGTGTAATTAATTCTATTCCTGCAGGGTATCTTATTGAAATTTAGCGGGGAAATGAAAAATAAGGATTAAGTGAAGGTTTTTGAATACTTGTGTAGTAAAAAGGTTTGCGTGCAGTGTAGGAAGAGATCGCTGCTGCTTACTATGAAAGGCCTTCCTATTTGGCATTGGGGTTATTTCCTTGAGTACTTGAACTGTTGTCCTCTATTAGAGCAAATGCTGCCTGACCACTGCTGGATCGAGGGTTAAACAAGAAAAACAGGGGCCATGTGGAAGCAGAGATATTCACTTGACATTCTTCTCCAAATACATATGCACCCAACTCTGCTTCTGTGGGTCACTGACCTTGTATTCTCAGTTCAGTCTCTTAACTTCCTACTGATCACAGTGGGAGTGACACATTTGTACAGAAGACGTAAATTAGGACATTTTGCTCTTAAGTGCAACTTCAGTAATGTCAACGGTTTACTGTCTCAGAGCTTTAGAGAAGAATAAGTGGAAGTGTGAAAAAATTACTGTAAGCTCAAACAAACACAAAAGAACCCAATTATCTTTAATTAATGATGTGACTTCTGATTCTCTGTCACATTAGACAACTGTTGAGTCATTTATGCATTACCTACTACTGACCAGACTTGTCCAGTTTATGATCAAAAGAGTATTGAAATCACCTGCTCAGCTACATCAAGATCAGGAGGTATGCAATTTGGTGGTAGGGAATAACAAGCCAACTTGTGTCTCATGTAGTACAGTTTTAATGTTTTTTAGGCCTTTAACCCTCTGGTGAATTGACTGACAAATTCTCTTGGTAAACTTTGAGGCAGCAGACAAGTGTTTTAAACAGAACAAGCCCACTCAAAGCATTTCTCCTAGTTTCAAATTGGAAAATTGTGATTTCATGTTTAGCTTTGAAGTCATGAAAAAGCTTATGTCTCCTGTTCTGATCCATTTAACAGCGTACAAAGCTTTTTTTTCCCCTCCTCCCTCCTTAGAAGTTCTATAGCATGTAGTTTTGTTGTTTATTATAGTCTAGGAGGGCAACAAAATAATTAATCAACAGCTGAATAGCATATATTTTTCATATAATTGCTTAACATTCAAACTGAATTTTAAATGTTAAATTTGGCAAGGCTAGACTGTCACTTCCAGCAGCATGCTGAGCAATAATTGGTACGTATGCTACACCAGCTTAGAATGAACACAAAATTCCTCCCAGCTATGTCCATGGCACAGTAACTGGTATCTGGAGCACAGTACACGACTGATCATGTTAAGGTAAGTCCAGCTGCTCTGGACTGCAACAAGAAATAGAGCCAATAATCTGCTGATTATTGATTTGTTCCATAAAGAAATAAAGCGGGCAAACAATTTATCTGATCTTGCATTTGAAAGTTCAGTTTCAGACTAATGTGGAGTGAGTTCTGACAGTCATGGCAGGGGAGAACAATTATAATCTGGTCTCTGATTGCAAGTCAGTTTTCTTTTTCTTTTTAATTCAACTTTAGTATTGAACAAGTGAATAATCTGAGTGAAATACAAGCCCTGAGGAGGTTGAGTCCACATCCTAATATCCTTATGTTACATGAAGTTGTTTTGTAAGTATGGTTCATTCATTTCTTCCTCATTTTGTTCAAGCAGTATGTGGTAACTTCTGGATCTAGAGGCAACCTGTAGGAGTTTAGCCAGCTTTTCCTTCCAGCAGAAAGAAAAAACAGCTGATCTGTCAAATTCTGAAGTCATTGTGTTTTTTGTTAAATGAGAGCTTGCTGTCTTTTGTAGCAATCTGAAAAACACTTCAACATCCGTATTAAGATGACAGGCTAGCTGTATTTCTAGCCTACCTAAACTTCATGTCGTAACCTATAGTACTTGCTGATGATTTGAACCCATATCCCAAACCCACTGAGTTACTTTAACTACACAACACTGAGTCTGCTGGAGACTCCTGGTTTGGATTGCTCAGAGCTTATTTGCTGAAATATGCCCTGGTACTTCAAGGTACTTCAAGGTTTGGCCTGGCAGTTTGAAGTCAGGATCCAGACAAGCTATTTGGCAGCATCATTTTGTAGGTAGGTTTACAGATACTTCTTTGCAAATAATACATGAGAAGCTGGTAGTCATATCAGCAGCTCTCTGGAATTCTCAACTTCAGCTGCTGTACAGTGTCATCCAGATGGCCAACCAGCTCACCTGGCTCTTTCTCAGTCTGTCTGTGAACTGGATTGCTGATTGTACCCTCACTCATTAGTTGTCAGGGTTAACAGTGTTGCAGAGGGGTGTGCTTTAGTGCAATTATCTTCTTAGAAAAACTGAAGACCAAAAGACATCTGCCTCTGCAGGGCAGTGAAATGGAAAATAAAGTATTAGATATAGTATCATGTACCTAAACTGCTGTGAGCAGTGATTCCAGTCAGATGCTTATTTCCACTCAACACACTACTGATGACCAAGCTAGAAAGTATTTTCATGTATGGCATAGTGTTTTTCCTACCTCGTTGTAAGGTTGTATCACTTCAATTTACTGGAAATTTCTTGATACTGAACAGTGTTGTATAGCTCAAAAAAAAGCATTCCAATACCTTCACAGAGTAAGTCAATTAAATTTTGTGAAAGACACTCTGGATAGTGCAAACTATAAATATGAAATGTCAGAGCCTAAGCTGGAAAACATGAAAGCATCAACTGAAAATGTCCATTTTAGTACTGGTTAAATTACTTTTTCTCTACACTGTATACAAATCAACATGTACATTTTATTTCTAGTTTAAAGTCTCCTAATTTCTTTCTTCAGTGATAAAAAAGCTGGCTGCCTTTCACTGATATGTGAACTTATGGATATGAATATTTATGAGCTGATAAAAGGTATGTGGCATATGCTTAAACCGACAAACTCTCCTTGTGTAGACTACAAAGTGGAATTAATTATATTCTCTTCACTCTTCCATGTTATGAATTTTGTAGTGAAATTCTGTGCTGTACTGATTTACTCTCTTTCATCTACCCAGTTGTTTAAAGCATGGATGCATGCAGAAGGTTTCTAAAGAGTCAGGTCAGTGCCCCTCTATTTCTGCAGTTAAACTTTACATGACAACTTGGAAACAACCTTGACTACAAAAAAAAAGGCTTTATATAACAAAAAGTGCAACTTGAACAGGCTCTTGTTAGGTCAGGATTGCAATAAAATAACTTGAAAATTATTCCAGTTTGTTTTAAAGACCACTCAGTAATGCTTTTCCACTTTTCAGTGAACATTTTTCACTGAAAACACCCATTTTGAAGAATTCTGAATGTGGATGTCAAAGCAGGTGTGATGCCACGGGGCTTAAGGAAGCATTCCTACAGAAGGAACAAAGAAAGGATCTGTAGACACCAAAGGAGTTGGTTACAATAACTGAAAGGCAATAATTTACAATTTCATTAGTAAAAGAGGATTTTTTGGTGGAGTTATTTAAATTTTACTGTCTTTATGGCTGGGAGATTCAGTTAAGTAACCCAACACGCTACTGATATTCAGAGTAGTCAAATAAAGACTTGCTCTCACATTGTATCTGTGACACTGGGCGTTCAGATCAGTAAAGATCTGAGATTAAAATAGAGTTGTTTGACTCCACTGCTCAAAGAAACAAACATGAACAATTGCTGGTTTTATTAAGGCTTTTTTTTTCCCATGATGAATTTGTGAAGTTAAGTCAGATGAGTAGCTGAGTGCAGGAAGGAGCCCTCATTGATATGAAATTAGTTCAGCACATTAACAGCAAACCTGCATTTTCTCCCTCTAGGAAATATACTACAATTGTGGAAAAAGAGAAGGCATAGATTTGCTCTTTAAATGCCTTTATTTTTTTTCACCCAGAGCATTTGCTTTCTCTGTGTGTGTGTGGTTTTTTTTAATGTGAAAAAGCCTGCTATATTAAGCATTGAACACAGATGGAAATTAATCTAGTAGTTTCAGTGTATTCTGGTTTTAGTGTTTGGTTAATTAGTTAGTTTTTGTTTTTAATTTTAAAACAGCAAGGTTGTTTTCCTGGTAGATTTTGTTTGTTTGCTTCAGAAAATAACTTTGGTGGTTTCACAGTAGGCATCAGTAGTTTCCTATGGGGCAGACATTGATCCTTCCATTTTGTTCCTTCTGTTACACTGACAGATTCCTGTTAGTTCAGTTAAGGCTATTTGTGCTTACATGAAGCCATCGTTCTCTTGTTCTCAGTGTGTGGGGGTATCAGTGACAACCAGCCTTGCCTTTGCTTCAGTCAGAACACTTTGGTCATTTAAAATGAGGAAGTAAATAGGGCTCAGAGAGAGGTGGGGAAGATGCCCAAAGAAAAATGACTGCAGCCTCCTAATGCTGCCTTCTTACGGTTCACTTTGTAATGGCTTCCCAGTAAGCTTCCTGCAATGATAAATCTGAAAGTAGAGGAGCATCTGCTCCAGATTTTAGTAGTGACCTGTGAGGAGGAAAAGACAATTGAGCACGACTTCTTTTCAGGAAGGTTTGGTTTCTTAAATACTACCAGTAATCAGAGTTGATTTGAATGACCAAATCTTTTAACATCTTTTGTACTGAAAACAGCAAAAATCCTGATGTTGAAACACCATCTCTACTGGGCTCAGAATATGACATTTCCTGATGTAAGTGTGCTCAGTTTCCAGTGCCCCGTGAGCTGATCCTGCTCGGTGGATTACAGAGGCAGACTGGAGGTCCCCACCTCCTGCCCCACCTGTTACCCATGCTGATGGCAGCGGGCACAGGGCTACCTGCTCTGGTTTGCAAAGATGTGATCGCTTCTGCCACTGTTGACAACACTGCAGCATTATATAAAGGCATTATAGCGAGATTAAAAGGCCTTTGGAGCCTATAAAAGAAAAAAAGTCCTGTAGTTACTGTAGGGCTCTGAAAAGTAGATGCATTTTATAACTGTCATTACGGTGCAACAGCAAGCAGCTACCTGGGTTAACCTGTAATTTGCAAGTCAATAGTGAATCACAGACATCTAAACATCGCACTAATTTGAGGTGATGGATAGGAATCATGAACCTGAAGGCCTGTAACTTTTTTTAGAAAGGAAATCAGACGTTTGGAAATGAAATACTGGAGTTCTGTCAGAATTTGGAGATGCAGATAATGGAAGAAAAACAGGCAGTAAAAGTTAAGGCCTTTTACAGACTATTGAACTGACAGTTATGTTAGCCCAACTACTCTGGTTCTCACTGAAATTTAAATTATGCCTGAATTTTGAGTGGAAAATGGATTACAAAGCTAGCTTTAAATGACAGAAATAGTGTAACTGGAAATGTTATGTCAGTGCATTACTGGAAGCTGAAGAGTATTTCCTGGTATTCTCTCGTTTGCTAAAAATGACCTGGACAACTTGAAATTTAATTCTAGGACGGAGAAAGCCGTTACCTGAAAAAAAAATAAAGAACTACATGTACCAGTTATGCAAATCTCTTGATCACATACATAGGTAAGAGACCAGGCGAGCAAGACCTTTGTGGTAAATGCATCATTCACTGATTTTGGGGTCATTGCTAAGTAGATCCATACAAATACCTGAGGCAGCAGACTGCTGCAGGGTGAAAAAAGGACATTGCCCACCTGCAGGCTGGTGGCCAGTGCTGTTGCCAGCACCTGAGGGGAACTGCAGGAAGCCCTTCTGGGAGCGTGGGGGCCCTTCCCATCCTTTTGTAACCACATGAGAGCAAAAGTAGAAAGCTTGCCTCCCCTTCCTTCACTTACCATTTCCTCATTCCCATACCTGCAGCTCTTGTCCCACTGTAGTGGCAAAATTAAATTTTTTCTCTGCTGTTGATAGGGCTGATGGAAGTGTTAGTTACTTTATGGTTGATTTCCTTGGTTCATTTTTGTTTGTTTTACAAATAAGTGGAAGCACTGATAATATTTATCTTTGCACTGAACTCTTTTCTCTCATGTGTTTATATTGGTACAGAAATGGGATATTTCACAGAGATGTGAAACCAGAAAACATATTAATAAAGGTAATGCATTTTGTGTGGAGAATTTTTAACTGAAAATGAAATGTATTGGTATGTTTTTGTTTATGCTGAGAAAGTAATACTTCTTTAGGAATACAAGCACAGTTTTTATTTTATATATATATACTATATTGTTATATATTATATAAGTAATTATATACTTATATAAGTAACTACATATGATATTATTATAATATTTATATTATATACAAAAATATATAAACATTATATAATTTGTATTAATTACATAAAAAGTTGCCTCTGATGCTTCAGTCCTAATCTAGAGGAATGAAGGAACAAGCAGATTTGTTACTGGCACAAACCTGAGGTAGATCAGATGTGTTAGAGCTTCCCTGTGTCCATGCCCAGGTGTCAAAGCCCTGAGGCCAGGCTGGATGGGGCTTTGAGCAGCCTGCTCTAATGGGAGGTTTCCCTGCCTATAGCAGGGAGGTTGGAACTGGATGATTTTAAAAGTCCCTTCAAACCAATACCATTCTGTGATTCCATGATGATTCTCTGCCAATCTGCAAAATGATCCTTAATCATGTGTCAGTATACATTTTCCTCTTGTTTATTTAGAGACGAGCAATGGGGTTCAGTTCTGCATCTTTTTTTCTAGGTATAATCTCTAAGTGTAGTGGAAGTTACTCCTACAGAAGAGAGCAGAAGATAGTAGCTTTCAGAAGATTTCTTCATTGAAATCTATTCTCTCACCAGTTCCAGAATGTTATTTTGCTAATATAGTCTGAAAAACAAGGATTTGAAAGTCCAGTTGATGAAATTTTATTTTCTGGAGATATTTTTTTCTTTTTTTATATCATAGAAACATACAGGAGAAAAACTGTTGCAAAAGGAAGCTGAAACCATCCATTATATCACTGCTAAACGCAAGAAGTCAAAGAAAATAACTTAATCCAGATGTCCTATTTAGCGGGCTTCCTTTCAGTAATTGTCCATATGCTTTTCAATTAACTCTTAGCTCTGTCTTTTAATGATGTAGAAAAGCATTTCTTCATATTGTGGGACACAGATCTCTTCAACTCTTGGAGCTATGTGCTATTTAAATGCAGTTTTACTGCTACAACACCCCCCTTGGGCTTTCTGAAATTTTATTCTTTAAGTAATCTATGATTTCTTTTATGGTGACTACTTCACACGTGTCAGGAAAATCCTTGCCTGAATATTTCCGCGTTTCTAAATTCAGGATATTTTATTTTTGCAGCAGAATACCCTGAAGTTAGCAGATTTTGGATCTTGTAGGACTATATATTCTAAGCAGCCATACACAGAATATATCTCCACACGCTGGTACCGAGCACCTGAATGCTTGCTTACAAATGGCTACTATAGCTACAAAATGGATATATGGAGTGCTGGCTGTGTTTTCTATGAAATCACAAGGTACCGTGTTCAGTGGAGGGTCTTTCTTGTTCTTATCAGGAAAATCAAAGGTAAATAACTGAAATAAGGAGCACGTGGTAAAGATAATCTGGTCTTTGTTTCCACCATTTCATGGAACTTCACTGCATGATCAGTCTGCAGGGCTGATGAGGCAGTAATCATCCCTTGTCTGGCACTCTGTTCACCTTATTGTGCCAGTAGTAAAGCAGCAAGCTGTTTGGGAAAACATCATACCCATTACAAAATATTTACAAGGAGAATAACGTTGAACAGTCCCCTGCTCCCAAGCCTCTGCCTTCATATTTGAATTTTGCAGGAATGTACTTTATCTGACGTGTCTCTGAAGTACGGCTCAAGTCCTGCATGGGTATCACTGTTATCCTCAGCCTTGTTAATACACTTGATGGCAAATTTTCCCCTTTTTTCATGACTTCTGTGAAAACAGAAGATCAGTGAAGACACTCCCTTGCGCTTACTAGGTGGTGTATGAAATAGGTCATTCAAGACCCTTGTGCCATGCCAGAACCTTGTGTCTTGGGATATTTTCAAGTTGGGTTCCAGTGAAGGAAGTGTTCAGAAAAAAATAGATTAAAGCCCTGTAGGATTATCAAAGATGATAAAACCATAACTCAGTGAAATTGTCTTCGGTCTTCAGAAAACAAAAAACTAAAAACCACGACTATTCCTCCAGTATCTCTGTGCCATAGCAACAGCAGCAGTTCTTCTCTATTCTCCTCCCACACTGCTGCCTCTCATACGCAACCAGGAGTGGTAACATTTGCTTTTTTCTTTCCTCCTCCTCCACATGGCAGGCGCAGCTGCTGCCATCACATTAAATGACAACTCTTATGCTTTGGCTGCTAACTTGTAGAAACAGTTCTCATTCGGTCAGAAAACTGTTAACTGAAAAATTCCAAATGTGGTAGTTCTCTTGCAAAGTAAATTGGGAACAAATGTTTTAAAAATGCCGTGTTTTCCCATTCCAGTTTGAATTGGTGTGCTTTGAAGTTTTGCAAGAAAATTACACACTGCAAAAGAGATACTTCCTCCTAATTTTAGCTTAATGTAACAAATTTCAGTCTTTGCAACCGCTGCACATTTTCAGAGACCTAATAGATGTGTTCAGAAAGAAATGAGGAATGTTCCTTGGAAATAAGTGAATTTTCAAAAGTACAGCCTTGCCAAGCTGAAGGAAGTTATGGACAGGTTTGTTTCTTCTTAAGAGGATCTTGCAGTTTTTGCTGTTGAACATTTGCCAAAGTCTACACTTGAGACTGCATTTTTGGAAGAATCTTTTAATCTTACTCAGTCACATTTGTCTTGCAAGTCTTCTCCCTTTCTCTACTCCTCATAAACCTGGGTTCCTGGATTGCTCAGGATTCCTTCCTTTTGTGGACTGTGCAGTTGTCGTTCCTTCAGTTGTAGTGTTACACTTCAAGATGGTGCATTTTTGACATTTTTGTCATTCAAACAAAAGCCACTCCCACTCCTGCTTGAATTGTGAGATACAGCTGTGCAACGGGAATCAAATCTCTTTTTCTCCTTCCTCTCAAAGCCTTACAAAGACATTCAGAGAGGTGAGCAGACAGCTGTTGGATTGAATTTACCGACAGTTAATAGAAATTAATTAATAGAAGTTTTTCCCTTCTACAAAGGGGGCTGAATGTTTTGCTTTCAGGAACCAAGTGGTGCTAAGGAAGAAGTATTTCTTAAAATTATATGCCAGATGAAATGTTCTGCCTGCATGGAAGAAGGGAACATATGCAAGAATTGAATGTTAGTGGACCTAAGTTGCTGAGTCAGATTGCTATATTGATAACAATGTTTTCAAGGACTATTTGCAAGTTTTATATTAACTGAGGATAAGGCTCAGGAATGTAGTTCAAATTACCATCTCTCCAGTGCTGCTGCTTGAAAAGAACCTGTGTGTAGGAATGGAATGTTTCTTATAAATATGTATTTCTTTGTGCATACACAGCGAAAGGGAATGCTTGGTTTTGCTGTCTTAAAAGGAGGAAAACACTCTGTTTTGTGGGATCTGCAACTATGCTAGAAGAAAACAAAATTCTATATCCATTACCTTTCACAAGAAGGGATGTTGTCCTTTACCCCAAACCTGTGAGGAAAGGACAACTATAGATTTCTGTTTAATAACCCAAACTTCCTCTTCAATCAAAAAATGCAGCTGTAGTAATCTGCTGCTCACATATTGTCCTGTAATTGTTGGCTGGTATTAAAACTGTTCACAAATAAATAATCCTAAAGTTTATCTTTGTCTTAAATGGAGGAAAAAAAACAAAATTGGTGACAGTGATGTCACTTAAACTAGTTTAACTAACTGTGGTGTAAACCTACTACCACCTCTTGCTTTGCAGTTTTCAGCCTCTCTTTCCTGGATCTAATGATCTGGACCAAATTTCAAAAATCCATGATGTGATAGGCACTCCTGCCAATAGAACTCTCAACAAGTTCAAGCAGTAAGTATGCATCCTCATAGTTATTAATCTCAGTGGTTAAATATCCAAAATACAACTGTACAGCTGGGATGTTTCTGGGCAGAGAACTGCCACAAAATTCTGCTTGTGTTGTGACAGCTGCTGACCAAACAGCGTTGTCTTCTTTCTACCCCTCTTCCCCAGAGACCATCACACACTTGTGATCCTTGTAGGCACAACAGAGGAAATCTGAGCTTAGAACAATCTTATTTGGCTTTTTTTTTTTCCCGTACTAAGGGAAAGTTGGCTTAAGGCCAGTGACATAACTTGTTAGGAAAGAAAATGTTTTGTCCAAGTATTACTTACTTTCCCCTAACAATTGATTTCCTAACTCTGATTTTTTTTTTCAAGTGTAAGTTGCAATTTTGCTGTGAATATTTATGAGTAACTGTTCTCAACTTGCTTAACACAGGTCAACAATTTTGAATTTTCATTTCCCTTTTAAAAAAGGAAAAGGAATACCTCCTCCAGTGCACAATTTATCTGCTAAAGGATTAACTCTTCTGTACGCAATGATAAAATACGATCCTGACGAGAGAATTGCTGCCCATCAGGCATTGCAGCATCCTTACTTTCAGGAGCTCTGGCAAGTGACTTCAAATCATTTCAATCTTGAACACTAAGATGAAGAAGTGGAAGAACACTGTGTGCTTGTTATTTCGAGTGGATTGAAGTGAAGTTTGCTTACAGTGCTGATACTTAGCTTTTGCAATACAATGAAATATCAGTCAACGTAATTCTTTGCACTAAGTCCAAACTTCACTTAAAGCATAACTGACATTTTTCCTCTTTTTTTCTTCTTTTTGCCCCAAACTTTTTAGGGCAGCTGATACACAAGCGTTGGCCACGCACAAAAAAGTAAGATTACTAGAAAATACAGTAGGGCAAGTACCTCTGCATTTGTGGCAAATTTCAAAGGGAAGTCAAGGAGAGGTAATATTTACATGGAAGCATTGATGGTCCGTTTCGAGAAAGTAATTTGTGAGACTGAGCTTGCTGGCTAGAAACAAATGTCTTACTTAAGCTGATTACTTGGTTTTACTCAGTCTGCCCCAAACCAATCTTCATTGGGTCTGGAGCAGAATCCCATCCCCCCAAACCCTGCAACAAATGAGTTAGAATTTAAAAACTGTGACACAGCATAATGCCTTTGACAGAGAGTTTTCATAGGTGCTGCTATTTAGGCGGTCAATGCCTCATTTTTCAAATTATGGTCTTCCTCATTTTTTCCAATTTACCCGAGTTTAAAACAAAAAAGTTTTTCAGATACATTTTCTGTCTCTGCTCAAACTTTATTTTTGCCTTTCAAGGCCTTCAGTCTGTGTATGTTTTTTTGGTTGTCTTCTTTTTTAACATTGTTACTCTGTGTTCAGCTGATATCCAGACAGATCTTGAACTTAAACTCGACTCAGAAAATCAGTGAATTAAAATTGGATTCAAAATTCTGTCTACTAAAACTGTAGTCAAATAACATGAAAAATACCCAACAGATGCACTCTTAGAATTCACTGTATCTGCAAAGTGAGACAGAAATTGGTACTGCATGCAACTCTCAAGTGCAGCTTTTTCACAAAAAAAAAAAGCAATCACCATAGAAATATATGTGCTTCTAACATTAAAAGCATTAGTTCTTCTTTCTCTAAGATGTTCTCAGAGATTAAACATTATTTCTCTATCCTAAAAGCATTCTCTTAGGAAAGTCCAGGATAAAGTAAAACGTCAGCATGTAGTTCCTTGTGGAGAACTACCAATGTTAAGACCTTCTGGAGCAGCTAACTTGCCTTCCCTTCCTACACCTACTTCACATTCAGTTTTTCCTGCAGCTAAGGAAAGTGGTGAAACTTCTGTGCTGCAGTCTGCTAGATTTATTGGATCAAATATGGAGGTACAGATTCTCACTTGCTCATTAAAATGTAACAACAAGATATGTTTTATGAAGCATATTTTAAACTTCTGTTGTTTCTTCAACAGTCTGAGAAACAGAAGACTCTTAAGTCTTCCCTAAAACATTACCACTTACCTGCTATAGAACGAAGAGGAAAAGGTTACTGGCCATTTTAAGGTATTGAGAGTGTGAAGAAAAACAAGAGTATGCAGTGATCACTGTTAGAGATCCAACAAGAACAACAGTGCTTTATTTTGTGTTTTTCTGACAATTGTCAGAAACCCCCCAGAGCTATAAGGGGCTGCTTACCTAATGCTTTGGTGTTCTGCTACTGAAGATGATCGATATTTAATTAAACCCTCTACTTGGACTTTCTAAATATATATTTTTTTTCCTTTTAGAACCCGATGGAAGAAGGGATTCGTTAAAAATAACATGAGAGGATTTGTTGAGGTTCAGTGTTAGGAATGGAACATTACCTACAAAATACAAGTTTTCATATTAGATAATAAATGACTGCTAACTTCTGGAAAGTATTTACCTCCTGTATTTAATGACTTCAACCTCAAGCTTTACTGAGAACTTGCAGATTATACAAACATATATTTGGTTTTGATACAGTTAGCATAACTGGTCAGTATTTTTATATACCTACCAGTTAAAAGGGTAAGCAACTTTTTATCTGATTCAAAAGCAAACCAGCTAAGACTCTGCTCACATACTTGTCTTAGCGGAAGAATTGCAGTCCAACAGTAGGTCAGAGAAATTAAACAGCAGAATGCAACAGCATAGGTAGGTGCTGTTTCTCTTCTTAGTTTGAAAGTCATACTGAGTGAAGGTCATCTTCCTCCTACTTCTAAGTAAGCTAAAGTTCTTCTAAGTAGAAAATAATTCCTAACCATGATTATATCAGAAGTGAGTGCGACTACATGAAGACACAGTGACCAGCTGAGTTATACTGTCCTGCTACTGATATTCATCTTTGTTTGTTAGGAGTTCATACTGTTCAAGCCAAACAGGTGGAGAGCTTGAATGGTAATAAGGCAATCCAGTATTTGTTTGAGTTTCTAGCATTGGTTTATATTTAAAAAAATAATAATAAATTAAAAGGTGTGATGCTAAGCTTAGGAAACGGAATGAAGGACTGAAGCTCTACAGGCAACAAAGTACAAACAGTAACCTCCACCTTTTTACATTTTTTGCTGTGAGCTTATCCGGTGGTTTGTGCTTTTTTTCCTCAAGAGCAGGTGGTGAAAAAAGGTTATCAGACTTTGTATATCACCATCAATTTTCTCTCACATCAGTATTTGGTGTCACATCAGTATTTGAGGCTGTTGGTCTGTTAGAATGAAAAAAAAGCAATTCAGCAGATTGCTTTTGCTTTGAAAATTGGGTATTTCATATGAAGCACCACTGTGGAATGTTTTCTTCATTTATTTTAAGCTTTCAGGTGGATCTTGCACATTTGGGCACATACAGCACTTCATGGACATTTATTTAATAACAAGTTCCTTAATATTCTTCTGGAAACCAAATATAGTTCTCTGACTGTTGGACTGGTGGGCAAACTTGAGTTTTCCCACTTGCTTTCTAGTTAAAACACATTCAACTTTAAAATATAAATTGGCAAGCATTGTTCCTACCCTCATCCTTCCAGCTAAAGTTCTGCCCTGAGACCATTTCTTTTATTATTTAATTTGCTTTAATCTATAATTATTTTTTCCTACCATGTTAAGGGCTATATCTTTTGTAGAACTCTACATTATTTCCAGGTAAGTTGTTTTCTTTTTCTTCCTAAAATCAGTTTTTCCATAGTGGAGAAAGGATGGGGGGTGGAAGACTTCCAGGTGATTGCCAAGTGGTAGAGATACTGCAGAAAACCAAAAGCACACATGGACTCCTTCTCTGCTATTCAACTATGATTTGCAGCAGGATGTGCTCTGCAAACAGGTATGTAAGTAGCTGCTGTTATTACCCTAATGTTGAATGCTATGGTCCTTATGGTACTGTTGTTTTTGGTTTTTTTTCCTACAGCTGATAAATTACAAAAAGTCCTTTAAAGGCCTTTATTGCATCTTTTCCTCAGCTGTTTCACTTTGACTCAGGCAGTATGAAGCACTGATACAAAGAACTCTCCAGGGAAGTAACTGCATTAGTTTTCAGTGACAAGGTTTATCTGTATTTTAACAGCTAAACCCAATACATTAATAAAATAGAACTTCTGAACAATAATGCTGCTCAGTTTCAGTATTTTCCACATTCCTTGTATTTTAAAAAACCCCAAGTATATGAGAATTGTAAAGTACAGTCTTTAAATGATGTAGACAATCCAAATGCCAGTTTATAAATACATCTGGCACTTCTTTATATGCTAGCTGCATGACAAGAATAAGAGATGTAGTTACAAGCAGCTATGCAGTTTGTTTCTCTCCAGGTTTTCATTCATCTCCTTCCTAAAGGTGCCGAATGGTTACTTGCAATTAAAAGCATTCCAACCCAGCTACGTGGCTGGGAGCAGGACGGCAGTTGGTTGCCGAATTACGGCCTCATGCAGAGCTTGTGCCTGCTATCAGGCACACTGCACTCTCAGGCTTCTGGCCTCAGCTCTGCTCTGCTGACCGAATGCCCATCTCCAAGATTGGCCAAGAGGCTGTGTGTTTCTGCACAGCACTAAGAGATGGCAGGGACGTGGGTCAGTGCTGGGCCTTGATATGAGACAGCAGCTCTCTGTCTTTTTTTCAATCTTTGCAAGAAATACCAAAAAACGGTTTAAGTGTTCTGTTGCCAACTGACTTAAATTTGTGTTTAGACAAGCAGCATTAAACTATACAAATGCGTGGAGATGCATTTCCATAATAGCTCTCAATTTAAAACTGTTGAATTGTAAACAAGATGCCTATAAGAGGGAACGACAAGTTGTCTCAAAACCATGTCTTCTTCTGTATGCTGACATCATTTTAAGTTTGCCAGGTCAGAAGGTGGCTGTGTCTACTCCCGTTGGATTATTCACTTCTAAACTCCCAGGACAAATAGCAGCATTATGTGATTACAAAAGCCTCACCCCACAAAGCTGTCTGTGAGATTTCCGCTGCCTGATGTGCTTTGAGATAAACCATGAAGAATGAGAACGGACCAAAGTTACTTCATTTTCCTAGTCAAAGTTCAACTATATTAAATATGAAGCAATGTTCCAGGTGAGATTTTTTTTAAAAGGAATTTGTTCTACAAAGTTTATATTATATTTCTGTACCAAACATTTAATTCAACAAAGGATTGATTACATCAAAACGGATCAAATTTGAACAGAAAGTAAACAAAAATGCATATTCAAGATAGTTTAATATGTATTTTCTGAATTAGAAATATCACTTTCTTAAATGACTGAGTTTCTAGTGTAATGATCCATTAATCCCCTCCCCATCACTGAATTACATTATTTATACATATAATACAGAGCTGATTGCAGTTGGAAACAACAATATTAAAATAAATGTTTAATAGATACAAAGGATCTTCTCTCCACAACATAGTTTTTCTGGTGTTTAGACACCGATTTTAAAGTAATTTTCTATTAGCATTAAACTATTTAAGTGCAAAACAATTCTGTTTTAAAAATCTATGATTGCAGCATCCATCTTCCTGAATAACATTTGAAGCCGGAAAGTAATGACTTTCATGTTCTATGAGTGCATTCCAGGCTGTCCTCTCGCCATCTCTGGTTAAAAAAATCAGTGCAAAATAAACAATGGTGAAGTACTAATTTAACCATTGAACTTACTTCAATTTAAGAAACATACTTTATTTTACACTATATATATTTTTATTTATATATTTATATATATAGATTAAATTACACTGGACTTTAAAAGTATAAAGGAAACCCAAAATGTTACTATTTTTTTTTTACCGCAGCACCAAAGGAAGCTTTTTTTTTTTAAATGAAAACTTCCTTGGGTGAGCAGCTAGCAGTATTAGCTGTAATAAGAACTCATTACATTATTCCTTTTCAAATTACTATGTGATTCACATAATTCCATGTTTACACTCTGCCACATTATAATTTGTGATGCTCTTTGCCTGAAGAACAGCTCCTGGTTCCATTGCCATTACTTCTTGTCCTGTGTTCAGAGATTTGCTAGCAGTAGTGTGGTGGCTATACTACAGTTCCACTTGGAGAATTGGCCTGGTTTTGGGATGACAATAAACCCTGCAAACAAAGCAGTTTACATTAATCCAGCAAGAGAACCTGAGAGTACTTTTATAAAATTATTAGCCTGAAGCTAAAATAAGTACAATTTAGTTTTACTACCCCTTGCTTACTGAAGGTATCAGCATCTGCTTCCCCACAAAAGAACCTAAGTATCAGTCAGCAGCACACAAAAGAGCTTTCAGTAGGTCAGGACGCGTGTGCGTTTCAGACACGTGGTGCATAGGATTCCAGCACTGGGTTTCAGTCTGCCTTGCGCTCTGAGGCGCTGTGCAGCTTTAAAGATAGTACACCAAAGAAGTGATCATTTTATTGGGGGTATCAACAAACGGACCTATTTCAATAGCAGCAAGGTTGACAACCTGATACAGGAGAACGTTCAGTCTCTTATATGCTATTGAATATTACAAGCTTTAAATAGAAAACTAGACTCTCTAACCAAATACTGAGTTATGTCATTGTAAGGAGAACGACACACTGAGTCAGAGCTCAGTAAAATTCCCCATTACAACTTAAGCTTGTGTTCAGAACTGATTTAAACTGCACTGCCATTCTAATAAAATGAGACTTTATTTCAAGTGTAATTCTGCTCCTGTGTGGCAGCCCTAGCTCAGCAGGGGCTACCGTTCTGAATTAAGGCAGCCATACCATGGGCAAAAGACCCCACTTTCGATGTATGTGTAGTAGCCCCTTTTTTATTTATTTGCATAAAAGGAACCATACACCAGTTATTTAGGAAAAGCTTAATATCAAATTACAATTTCATTTTCTTGCACTGTCATTATTTAAAAAACTGCCAGCAGACTCGCACAATGGCAGCTAAGCTGGAAGCACACCAGTGACATTGCTGTGCCACTCGCACCATGTGGGCATGATAAATGCACTTTTACCAATTCCCCTCAATAGCTACCAGCTTAGTTTCTTACCTCAAAAATAAAGTTCCTGTGACTCATCAAACCCGACAGGTTTGGGCAGCAGTTAACACACAGTGCAGAATTAGGTCACATCTTTAGAATCTACAGGAGCTCTTTCTTGCTTGGGCTGCAAAACTGAAAAGTCACTACTGATGGAAAAAAGCCCTGACCACAGACAGAGGTGGAAGGGGGACTGGATGGGCTGGGTTCAACTCAGAGACACTGCATTTTCAGTAAGAAGAAAAAGTTTCATTGTTATTATTTATGGAGTAGTGAGAGGAAGCACTTTTAAAGCAAACAAGTTACTGAAGCATTCCTGACGATTTTTAACCAAGAAAGGTTTCAAAGCAAGGAAGACAAAACAGAACTCTACAGTTCGTTTACCGAAGCCTTCTTCAGAAGTCAATTAAATCCAGCAACAACTGGAAGGTCTTTCTTGCAAGATTACATCCACTAAGCAAGTTTCACATATCGTGGAAAAAGACGTCCAAAAGGTATTATTTTAAATCTTTAATAAGAAAGACAAACGGCTCATGCAAATGTGTGCTTTATAAGCACACAGAAAATAGTAGGAGTGGTGTAACACAAAGTCTTTTTCAAGAGGATCAAACAAAGAGAAATAAGCACTATTCTAATACTGCATTTGTAATGCAACCATAATTGAGACATGAAGAGTCATTTATTTTCCCACAACTCCAGTAGAAACTGGTAGCAAGTGCTGAAATGCAGTGTGGTGCCTGATTCCCAATGCCTACAACCACTCTGGAACACACGTAAGTTCCAAGACCAGGCACACGGATTCCCTGGGCCCTGGTTTCATCTTCCACACTGTGCATATTCCCTGCAGCCAAAGCACCACGTAGCTGGCATACAAGTATACGAGTATGGGAACAGTGGGAACTCCCACTGCAGCCCTTGTTCTAAATGATTGCTGCATCTGTGAGTGGGCAGGGCACAGGGACACCAAACTGGAGAGAACATTACGATTGATGTGTGTACACATCCTAAAACTTAGCAAGTATCAAAACATGACCAAGTTACAGCAATGCAATTGCTATCCCAAAATTCACTCTGTGCCACAGGTCAGTGTTGCGAGTTCCTCTGAACACTTAGTCTTCCAAAATCATCTCAGACCACAGATGTTCATACAAGGAAAGCAAGAATAAAGGTCAGGGCTTCAGGTGTGAAAGTTCTATAGAAGAGGGCAAGAAATCCAGGTAGGTCCTGAGTAGCAAGAAAGATTCTATGAAGCTTTGCCACAACAAAGAAGCTTTAGAAAATCTTGTTTAGAAAAGCATGCGACTGCTCCAAAAAGTAAGTTTTGGTACAAAAACTATCATGTCAGACTACGATCTGTAATAAAAAGGCTGCGGGACTGGAATGTTTCTGACGACATTCTCCAGGAATAAGGTTATAACAACCTCAAAAGTTCCTGTGTGGAAACAAAGGATGAAGGGATCAGAGCACAGCGCTTTCTGTGGTGAAACCGCCCAGCCTGGGCAGGCGGGCGCTGGAGGATGGAACAAAACCTGCAGCACCTCATTAGAGCAACAGAAACACTGCTGCTTAATAACTGTGACAGAAAAAGTGAATAATGGAGATAATACAGCTTCAGATCTGCTGCGCTGAAGACATACCACACACATCAGCTTAGCTTAAGAACAGACTGTACTCAGCATGCAACAGAGACAAATCAAGAGATTGTTCAAAAAAGTTTTGAAAATAAACGCAGTCTTTTATTAGCACTGTTATTTTGTCAGCACGTGATGCTAGCAGGGAGTGAGAAACAGAGCAGTTATGAAACTCAAGTCAGGAATTGGATAGAACCACCTTCATCAGAACCACAGAGAGAGCCCCAAGGAGGTGCTGCATGACTGCTGTTCCACTGGGCCTCTGGCAGAGGGCTGGGTTGTTTTTCTGCCATCAGTTAGCAACGTGGGAGCATCACGCCTGCAGTTTCAGGGCACACTGCCACACCACATTGATCCACACGTTCTCTGGCTTCCCAAAACACACAGCACCTTGTGTATTTAGTAAAAACTTTGAAGACATATCAATAGGCTTGCATGAGAATAAAAGGTATAACAAATGCAATCAAAATGACCATTTCCATCCAATTGCACAGTGCTCAGCCCTGTGGTCTGCTCAGAAAGCCCTGCAGAGACCAGCCCTCACAATTCCTGAGATGGCAGGGCGTTGTTTTAAGATTTGTTTTTTTCCCTCAGACAATTTTGTGAAACACAAAGTTTCTTAATAGAAACACTGTAAAAGATCAGGATGAGACAGCTGAATGGAAAAATACATCAGGAAGATACAGCTAATCAGAATAAAAGCTATCGGTAGCGACAGAGTTCATATTTTCTTTTCGTAAATTAGAACAAATTCTGCCAAAGATGTCACTAATGTAGATAACAAACTGCACGTTTGGACACACGGTTAAGTCACTGTAAAGCTGCTCCCTGTGTGTGAATGCACAGCTCTGTTACCTGGATGGTAACAGCAGCAACTCGGGAAGTCGCTGGATGGCAGAGCTCTGCACACTTCTGCTTTGCTTTGAAATTGAAAAGGAGAGTGAAAAAAAAAAAAAGCAAAGCAAACAGTCCAGTGCAAATACAACTAATATAAAAAACTGTGGGCTAAAAGGTCCCACAGTACACATCACTAATGCAATTAGACCAGCAACAAACAACAGTGGAGTTAATGAACGTCCATGCAAAAATGCCATTGATCGGTTATATCATTACTGCTATTGCCAATATATGAAATAATAATCACTGGCAGAGCATTGAGCACACAGTTCTTGTTCAAAACTGTGATGTTCAGAGTCACCTGAAACAAAAAGTCATCCAGACTGAAAGCTCAACTTGGCAAAAAAGCCCACAGCCTAATCCTGCATTTGAGCAATAAAATGCTCAAACAAAATGAGATTTTTCACATCTGTTTAAAATCCTGCAGTCAAATCAGATGAATTGGATTAAGATTAGTGTGAACAAATGGCCAACAGTTGCTTATCCAGATGAATCAGCATTTATTAGCTTAAATTGTTGAACTGCATATATTTACCAGATCAGATACTTAGTAAATCAGTCTCTGATGGAGTCAAAATTTATCACTGAAGAATGTTAAGGAAGTTTCAGGGAAGTACTTGCTGAACAGTAAGAAAACCTGCCACAGAGAAACATTTTATATGGGATTCAGGAGGACAGAGCCAAACTGATAGCTATCTTTACAATCTATACACTGTAGAGAGTTCTAAATGTTATTTGCACTTGGTTGGCTTTGTTTTATTCTAGTAGTAGTATAGAAAAGTATAACTTCTTGAACCATTTGGCATATCAGATCTCCTGAAAGCACGTAGTAGCAACACTCAGATTGCACTTGCAGCTTCACTTCTTCATACCCAAAGGAGTTTGTCTTCTAATAGGAATGCATCACCATTTTGCTTGCGATCAATGAAAAGCTGCTAGAAAACTAGCAGGCTAGCAAAAAACCTTGCCTATGCAGCAATATGAGGTATGATTACTTCAAGACTAGTTTTTGAATGGCAAATGGAAGAATTCTTGCTTATTGTCCTGTTGAAGATGAATAAGATGCAACTAAGTGTGCACTGGAAAAAGCACAGAATGCTTTTGCCAGCAGAAACCTGATTTGACTCAGTCAGTAGGAACTGCAGCTTCACTTAGGCAGTGAGGGCTCACGTGGCCAGAACACTTCTCTCTCCAGACTCTGCAAACTATAAAAGCCAGTTAAGGTTTTAACTTTTTGGATTAGAAAATAATGCAATTGAAATAAACCAGGAGAAAAACTGGGGGAGAAGCAGATGACTTAAGGGAAGCTCATTTTGGTTAGTTGTAAAATAAGCATGCTCACAGCATGAGAAGAAATGAAACAATGGATGAAGCACCTACCTAACATCCAGTTTTAAAACCAGAAAATAATGGACCAAGCAAGTTATTTCCTTGAGAAGTTTGCGCAACATTATTAAATAAAGGAAGGTTACTTCTCGCTTGCATGTTCCAAGTCATCTTTTGTTATATTCTGTGACTGCAGACCTTGTGGAAGTTGGACTGGTTTCACACACCAACG